AGCGGCGGTACATGAGCATATATCTAATGTCATACAATACAGAATAGTAGATCAAGATGGCAGTTTCCCTTTAAAGATTATGTATTTCTGAAGATTTGTACAATATATCTTGATAACTGTTTTTAATCTTTGATCTTTTGTGAAAATAATAGTGGAAATGGTTGAGTACATGAACTGGTTTAGTGACGTATTTTACATTAAAAGTGGCGTGATTTACATCTTTAAAATATAAAAGAATCTACACAGTCATACATACAACTATAAATGGTTGTGATTTATTTAAGAACGAAGTCAGTAATTGGGAATGTAACTTGCGCTTTCCGACATTATGCGTATTTCGCACACAGTTAAGAACGAAGTGTAATTCATTTATTCATACCAAGTACGAATGCATCAATCCACCCGCGTTGTATCTACTTACATGTTCATTAATGTCAAAGGACACCAACATCACAGGACTAAGTACATAGTTCGTTGAATGTTATTTCGTGAATTACACATATTGCGTAACACAGAGCACAAACCCAAAAGGCCTGTCCCTTTGTGACAGGTGTTAATTAGAGAATGTATTGCCACCACATTATGTCCCGGCAATTTTATGACACTTAATGAACCTAGTCAGTCCATGGGTCTGTAACAACTTTATAAAATCAAAGTAACATGAATGTTACGTAATTCGTATTAAATCAAAAGTTAAAAGGTTATAACATGAATATTATTGCGCTTTTGAGGATAAAAGTGAAACTTTTGCGATTCTGTGTGTTCTATGTTCAACTACATTTTTTGTGACAGGCGTTCGTTTATTTATTGAAATTCCACAAATTCATAAATCACATTGAGTTGCTCGCCTCTTCTCGAGCTGCTCACACCCTCCACTGATGCTGGCTGCCTTAGCTAACTGGAGTCCGCATATAACTAATTACAAACTCTGTTCTAATTATGCTAATCGAGGAAGTGCATTATACCAGATGACAAACTTAGTTATCCTGTCACACTAATCCCACTAATATGTCAACTGACTAAACGAACATCTTTTTTTATATACTTACGTAGGAGTATCACATTGGACAGTGCATACAACTGTTTGACAAACAATATCAAGCAATATTTTAGATTCAGAATCAACATACCATGACATAACAGAAACATATATATTAAATTGTATATATTCATATTTGCCGCTATTCACGATAAATTTATTTTACCGTCACTGTTTAAAACTACTCTGAACTACTTGTATGTATTGATCATCTTATTTGTAAACAGTAGGCGGACGTATGATATATCTAACTGTTACAAAAGTCTGCTGAAATCTTCTTTTTCTTTATTATGTAAAATGCTGTCAACATGAATAAATGCCAATTATTTCATAACACTCCAAATATATTTGTCATAATGAACATAGTTTTAAAGTATATTTGTCACGTGCAATAATACTGTCCGGTATTATTAGTAATATTTTCAATATCAACCACCTAGTGTGAGAATCCAGTGAGAAGAAACTGAGTGAAGCAGTGGTAAAATCTATCAATATATATAAAATTGTATATTTTTGGATACACCATATATACAAAATTGTATGTTTTTGGATATACCATATATACAAATTGTATATTTTGTATATATTGGAATTTTCCCTTGTGTGCCTGTTCTTGGCCTGTCAGCGGTCCGCCCAGTCTGTCTGTAACGTTGCATCAAGTTGGTAGCGGCAACACGGGAGCAACCGAAGGTTCGTGCAATATGGGCGTGGGTGGCTCCCATCTGTACCATACCTAAGGCTCGTTCACGTTGTTCGGCTGTGAGTCGTGGCATTTCTTTTGTGTGTTTTGTCTGACTTGCCGTTGCAATCGTTTTATACCCTTACCCGCACGTGCATTTGCAGTTGTCCGTGGTGCACGTGTTTTTCACTTTTTCGCGTGTTATCTCGCAAACATGTCACAGACGATTAACATTTTCTGCATACACTATTGTTGTATTTAGGTTGTGTGTTTTAGATAGACTTCATCGAAATTTTTTTAATACTTGGTCTGAAATTTATATTTTCAGTTGGTAAAGTTTCTTTTGGACGTCAGTTTATTTTTATAATTTTACAAATACGAAACTACCTTTTTAGTCGCCAATACTAGGGGTGGTGAACCGTACCTGTCTGTCAGGTTGGGAGGATTTACGTTTTAAGGTTTTACTTTTGTAAAAGGCAACAACAGTTACCCTTATAGATAAAAAAAATTGAAGCGAAAAAGCAACAACTTCATTCCTGAAAACTATAAATACAATATCATGTGACTTCATCAACCCTTGCCGTAAAAGGCAACTATGCTTGTCGAAAGAGGCGACTAACGGGATCGGGTGGTCAGGCTCGCTGACTTGGTTGATGCATGTATGTCATCGTATCCCAGTTGCATGGATCAATCCTCATGATGTCACTGGATTGTCTGGTCCAGATTCGATTATTTACAGACCGCGGTCATATAGCTGGAATATTGCCGAGTGCGACGGCAAATAACAAACAAACAACAAACAAACAAACAACAAACAATACATTACCTTGTTCCTTTGAACAGTTATCCACAATATGATGGCAATAACAAAAAATACCAAATAGCTGGCTTGACTGGATACAAGCCAGTGTTATCAAAGCCTTAATTACAATAAAAATGCCCCCACTAACGTTGCAGGACTCTCTTCAACTCAGAGTCTTCATTTAATGCTTTTATATTACAGAAAACGTTGGACGGAAAGGAAAATTATAACCTGCTTCATAAAATGCTTTTATATTACAGAAAACGCTGGGCGGAAAGGAAAATTATAACCTGCTTCATAAAATGCTTTTGTATTACAGAAAACGCTGGGCCGAAAGGAAAATTATAACCTGCTTCATAAAATGCTTTAATATTACAGAAAACGTTGGACGGACAGGAAAATTATAACCTGCTTCATTAAATGCTTTTATATTACAGAAAACGTTGGACGGAAAGGAAAATTATAACCTGCTTCATTAAATGCTTTTATAATACAGAAAACGTTTGGCGGAAAGGAAAATTATTACTTGCTTCATTTAATTCTTTTATATTACAGAAAACGCTGGGCGGAAAGGAAAATTATAACCTGCTTCATTAAATGCTTTTATATTACAGAAAACGCTGGGCGGAAAGGAAAATTATATGGTACAGGGGCCGTGAGACAGTCTACCATTCCGTTCAAGATACTGCATATATTTCTCATCTGTGTTTGTCTAGTCTAGATCTACACATTTAGATGAGCGTGTCATGAAATGTAGAAGGTTCTTGGAAAAACTGTTCATCCTGAAGCGGACCCGTTAAGATCCGGGGTAGAATGGTCTTCAGCAACCCATGCTTGCGCTAAAAGGTGATTATGCTTGTCGTAAGAGGCGACTAACGGGATCGGGTGGTCAGGCTCGCTGATCTGGTTGATGCATGTCACACATCCAAATTGCGTGGATGGATGCTCATGATGTCAATCACTGGACTTTCTGATCAAGACTCGATTATTTACAGACCGCCGTCATACAGCTGAAATATTGCTGAGTGCGGCGTTAAACAATAAACAAAAAAACTGACTTGAGACGTGAAAAACTATTTCCATTTGCGTATTTATCCTTTGTTTTACAATGGTTGTACGACGTCACGTGCTGGCTTCGAAGCCTTACGGAGAACTAGCGATACGGTCACTTTGATGAGTAAAGCGAAATTGTCACGCTTCTCACTGCCGCATTTGCACTGCGTATCTGTATATAATTATGAAAACCAATATGTAAAGGCTTGCATTATATCCGTCTGTCGTTATTTCAAAATATGTGTGTTTGTTTGCAAACAAGAGACATGGGCGAAATATTTTAATGTCACTATAAATTAGCTGATGTGAATCTGTAGACTCACCTTGTAGACCCACCTTTATATAAGTGTAAAACAAGTTTGGAGAAGAGGAAAATAGTCCCATAGGCGAACTATTTTGGTATCACTATCAATTAGTTCAACTAAGTTACAATGAGCTGAATCACGTGTCATTGTACTTGCAGACAAACCTTTATATATTTGCAGAACAAAACCATGAGTTTTGAGCAAAGGAAAATAGTCTCGACCGTTGGAAACTGTTGGCCCATGGGCGATAGGTTTAATTTTTATTTTTTTTTATTTTTAAGACATGATAACAGCATGTTGAATATTGTAAATACCGAGCGCGGACAGTTTCCAGACAAATGGGTTTCCAGAATTAAAATGGAACGTGTTCGAATATGACATCAAGAAATGTTCACAGCAAAAGATTCCACTTTGGCGCAGTATATGAGCTGCCAGTCTCAGGTCATATCAACCAACCCCAATATGAATAACTGCAATTTAAAAAATAAAATCATAGACCTTTAGCGCTTGTCCACTACGGCAACACACAAGACAGCAGGCCATGCCAGCTATAGCCTGTGTTCCGATGAAGCACCGTTATTCCGGGAGGCTCTGGTGCTGGTGAGACTGTCACAGTTGAGAGTCACGTTCCCTTAACCATGTGCACATGTTACATACAGTGAGTGAGTGAGTTGGGTTTAACGCCGCTTTTAACAGTATTCCAGTTATATCACGGCGTGTCAGCTTAATTTGGGAGGAAAGCCCGAAGTGATGCAGGTCTCAGACGTTTACCACTTCGGTGAAACCCACGAGCACGGGAATGGTGTCAATAAACCTGGATGAATAGGACACTGAGTAACGGATTTCACTGTACACCTGAATGCATCAGGTAATCTAGGTTAAAGATATTCTATTGTCCATCTGTATACATCCGCAGAGTTGCGCCACTTGGGCACGTCAGAAACCTATGATTGTGGGTTCGAATCCCGGTTCGCCCCGATCATGTTTCTAGGTTTGTCAGCTCCATAACCGTGCTAGTGGGTTTCACCGAAGTGGTAAACGTCCGAGACCTGCATCACTTCGGGCTTTCCTCCCACATTAAGCTGACACGCCGTGATATAACTGGAATACTGTTTAAAGCGGTGTTAAACCAAACTCACTCACTCACTCACTGTATACATCTGTAACCCTGTTCCTTCTGTGTCACACTTGCGTCCCCCTGTTCACCCTCCGTGCGTTAACGACGCCGTTGTCGACGTGACCTGGGGTGCACCTTCTTCCTCCTGCCCACAGCCTCCTTTATTACGGCCACGGCGGAGAAGAACAGGGTCGCCTCGATGAGGAAGATCAGCGCCCAGACGCCAGCAAATATCCCGATGCTCACTTGAGACTCAAATATCTTGTCTACCATCGCCTTGTAACAACCCTGCAACAGACAGTTACCTCCAACTGTGATGGGTACCACGCTGTCAAGCTGGGCGTTGCCCACACATGAGGATACGGGAAACCGAAACATATGCCTCATAAATAATAATGATAACAACAACAACATAAATAAATAATAAATAATAATTATAATAATAATAATAATAACCATCATCATCATCATCATCATCATCGTCATAATAATAATATTTTTATATTGCGCATATTAAAAAAACAAAACATACAGGGACATGCTCTGGATCAGTGTGCAGACAACAAACATTATCTGATCCCTTGGAATATACAACCCCAGCTGTCTGTTAGGTGCCAGCAGGTTAACAACCACATTGTCATCGCATCCTACCGGGTACCCATTCACTGCTTGGTGAACAGAGGCACTTTTCGAACGAAGTCACATGTCCTACATGTGCTCCATGTGCCTCAGTGTGGGCAAGACCGAAGTCCTAGAACCTCTGTGGAGCCAAGCTGCCGAAACGAGGCCACCCATCCAAGGACTCCCCGCGTTGCTTAACTTCACCTGGTTTGGGGCTACATGATGACAGACATGAACCACACGACCCGTGAAGATCCGGGGTAGAATAGGTCTTCAGCAACCCATGCTTGCCGTAAAAGGTGACTATGCTTGTCGTAAAAGGCGACTAACGGGATCGGGTGGTCAGACTCGCTGACTTGGTTGATGCATGTCATCGTATCCCAATTGCGTGGATCGATGCTCATGACATTAATCACTGGATTGTCTGGTCCAGACTCGATTATTTACAGACCGCCGTCATATAGCTGGAATATTGCTGAGTGCGGCGTTTAACAACAAACCAACCAACCAACATCAACCACTCAGAAAACACCAAAATGGCAGTGACTATCGATATCGACAGTGACTATTATTTTAACAAATTTTGTCATTTATGAAAATGTATTCAATTCTTCCAAAAAAGAAATACTCAAATACTGAAAAAAGGTAATCTTCTCCAGGATTTGCCAAAGATTTGTTTAACAGATGTTCTACACATCATGTATTGTGGGTCTTCAGCACAAGACTTGAACCCTTGCCCGTTACGTATTAAATGATGTACTTTTTCGTTAATGCTGATTTACCAATTGAATGTTGGTGTTGTCGCTGCTGGGGGAGACGGTGCAGTTGGGGCTCAACTGAGTGTTCTTTTTCTCCTCTAGCGCCGCTGTGATGTTGCTGCAACAGGAGATGGGGACGCTCATGTTGCCTCGTCCCTCCCACCACAGCGTCTCTTCAAAGTCAGCAAACCCCTCCAGGCCACAACACTTCATCTGAAACACAGAGACTGTCAACACCTCCAAACACAACACTTCATCCAAACACAACACCTCCGCTGACAGATATTGTCACTGCACGACCTTCAAACACAACACTTTAGCTGAAACACAGATATTGTCAGTGCACGACCTCCAAACACAACACTTTAGCTGAAACACAGATATTGTCACTACACGACCTTCAAACACAACACTTTAGCTGAAACACAGATATTGTCAGTGCACGACCTCGAAACACAACACTTTAGCTGAAACACAGATATTGTCAGTGCACGACCTCCAAACACAACACTTTACTTGAAACACATATATTGTCACTACACGACCCCCAAACACAAGACTTTAGCTGAAACACAGATGTTGTCACTGAACGACCTCCTAATACAACACTTTAGCTAAAACACAGATATTGTCACTGCACGATGTGTTAAAAAAAAATTAAAAACGCTTCAGGCTGTTGAGAAAAGAGAAATTGCCTGCCACACAAATTACATTGTTTCTCTTGCAAACATCAGGATCATAGCTTTAAATAGACCGATATCTGGGTCCCGCTGTAGCTGAACAAAATATATAACCCTGATAAAAAAATATACTCTTCTCTAAACATCTCACCTGGTCCATGATGGCTGTCCATATCTTGGATGTGGCGTTACTCTTCTATGAATATCTCACCTGGTCTATGATGTCTGTCCATATCTTGGATGTGGCGTTACTCTTCTCTAAACACCTCACCTGGTCAATGATGTCTGTCTTTATCTTAGATATGGCGTTACTCTTCTATAAACACCTCACCTGGTCCATGATGGCTGTCCATATCTTGGACATAGCGTTACTCTTCTCTGAACAACTCACCTGGTCCATGATGTCTGTTCATATCTTGGATGTGGCGTTACTCTTCTCTAAACACCTCACCTGGTCCATGATGGCTGTCCATATCTTAGATATGGCGTTACTCGTCTCTAAACACCTCACCCGGTCAATGATGTCTCTCCATATCTTGGATATGGCGTTACTCTTCTCTGAACACCTCACCTGGTCCATGATGTCTGTCCATATCTTGGACATAGCGTTACTCTTCTCTGAACAACTCACCTGGTCCATGATGTCTGTTCATATCTTGGATATGGCGTTACTATTCTCTGAACACCTCACCTGGTCCATGATTGCTGTCCATATCTTAGATATGGCGTTACTCGTCTCTAAACACCTCACCTGGTCCATGATGTCTGTCCATATCTTGGATATGGCGTTACTCTTCTCTGAACACCTCACCTGGTCCATGATGTCTGTCCATATCTTGGACATGGCGTTACTCTTCTCTAAACACCTCACCTGGTCCATGATGTCTGTCCATATCTTGGACATGGCGTTACTGTTCTCTGAACAACTCATCTGGTCCATAATGTCTGTCCATATCTTGGACATTGCGTTACTATTCTCTGAACACCTCACCTGGTCCATGATGTCTCTCCATATCTTGGATATGGCGTTACTCTTCTCTGGACACCTCACCTGGTCCATGATGTCTGTCCATATCTTAGATATGGCGTTACTCTTCTCTAAACACCTCACCTAGTATATGGTGTCTGTCCATATCTTGGATATGGCGTTACTCTTCTCTGAACAACTCATCTGGTCCATGATGTCTGTCCATATCTTGGACATTGCGTTACTATTCTCTGAACACCTCACCTGGTCCATGATGGCTGTCCATATCTTGGATATTGCGTTACTCTTCTCTGAACAACTCATCTGGTCCATGATGTCTGTCCATATCTTGGATATGGCGTTACTCTTCTCTGAACAACTCACCTGGTCCATGATGTCTGTCCATATCTTGGACATTGCGTTACTATTCTCTTAACACCTCACCTGGTCCATGATGGCTGTCCATATCTTGGATATGGCGTTACTCTTCTCTGGACAACTCACCTAGTCCATGATGTCTGTCCATATCTTGAAAATGGCGTTACTCTTCTGTGAACAACTCACCTGGTCCATGATGGCTGCCCATATCTTGAACATAGCGTTACTCTTCTATGAACATATCACCTGGTCTATGATGTCTGTCCATATCTTGGATGTGGCGTTACTCTTCGCTAAGCACCTCACCTGGTCCATGATGTCTGTCCATATCTTGGACATGGCGTTACTCTTCTCTGAACAACTCATCTGGTCCATAATGTCTGTCCATATCTTGGATGTGGCGTTACTCTTCTCTGAACAACTCATCTGGTCCATAATGTCTGTCCATATCTTGGATGTGGCGTTACTCTTCTCTAAACACCTCACCTGGTCAATGATGTCTGTCCATATCTTAGATATGGCGTTACTCTTCTATAAACACCTCACCTGGTCCATGATGGCTGTCCATATCTTGGACATAGCGTTACTCTTCTCTGAACAACTCACCTGGTCCATGATGTCTGTTCATATCTTGGATGTGGCGTTACTCTTCTCTAAACACCTCACCTGGTCCATGATGGCTGTCCATATCTGAGATATGGCGTTACTCGTCTCTAAACACCTCACCCGGTCAATGATGTCTCTCCATATCTTGGATATGGCGTTACTCTTCTCTGAACACCTCACCTGGTCCATGATGTCTGTCCATATCTTGGACATAGCGTTACTCTTCTCTGAACAACTCACCTGGTCCATGATGTCTGTTCATATCTTGGATATGGCGTTACTCTTCTCTGAACACCTCACCTGGTCCATGATTGCTGTCCATATCTTAGATATGGCGTTACTCGTCTCTAAACACCTCACCTGGTCCATGATGTCTGTCCATATCTTGGATATGGCGTTACTCTTCTCTGAACACCTCACCTGGTCCATGATGTCTGTCCATATCTTGGACATGGCGTTACTCTTCTCTAAACACCTCACCTGGTCCATGATGTCTGTCCATATCTTGGACATGGCGTTACTCTTCTCTGAACAACTCATCTGGTCCATAATGTCTGTCCATATCTTGGACATTGCGTTACTATTCTCTGAACAACTCACCTGGTCCATGATGTCTCTCCATATCTTGGATATGGCGTTACTCTTCTCTGGACACCTCACCTGGTCCATGATGTCTGTCCATATCTTAGATATGGCGTTACTCTTCTCTAAACACCTCACCTAGTATATGGTGTCTGTCCATATCTTGGATATGGCGTTACTCTTCTCTGAACAACTCATCTGGTCCATGATGTCTGTCCATATCTTGGACATTGCGTTACTATTCTCTGAACACCTCACCTGGTCCATGATGGCTGTCCATATCTTGGATATTGCGTTACTCTTCTCTGAACAACTCATCTGGTCCATGATGTCTGTCCATATCTTGGATATGGCGTTACTCTTCTCTGAACAACTCACCTGGTCCATGATGTCTGTCCATATCTTGGACATTGCGTTACTATTCTCTTAACACCTCACCTGGTCCATGATGGCTGTCCATATCTTGGATATGGCGTTACTCTTCTCTGGACAACTCACCTAGTCCATGATGTCTGTCCATATCTTGAAAATGGCGTTACTCTTCTCTGAACAACTCACCTGGTCCATGATGGCTGCCCATATCTTGAACATAGCGTTACTCTTCTATGAACATATCACCTGGTCTATGATGTCTGTCCATATCTTGGATGTGGCGTTACTCTTCTCTGAACAACTCACCTGGTCTATGATGTCTGTCCATATCTTGGATGTGGCGTTACTCTTCTATGAACATGTCACCTGGTCTATGATGTCTGTCCATATCTTGGACATGGCGTTACTCTTCGCTAAGCACCTCACCTGGTCCATGATGTCTGTCCATATCTTGGACATGACGTTACTCTTCTCTGAACAACTCATCTGGTCCATAATGTCTGTCCATATCTTGGATGTGGCGTTACTCTTCTCTGAACACCTCACCTGGTCCATGATGGCTGTCCATATCTTAGATATGGCGTTACTCGTCTCTAAACACCTCACCTGGTATATGGTGTCTGTCCATATCTTGGATATGGCGTTACTCTTCTCTGAACAACTCATCTGGTCCATGATGTCTGTCCATATCTTAGATATGGCGTTACTCTTCTCTAAACACCTCACCTGGTATATGGTGTCTGTCCATATCTTGGATATGGCGTTACTCTTCTCTGAACAACTCATCTGGTCCATGATGTCTGTCCATATCTTGGACATTGCGTTACTATTCTCTGAACATCTCACCTGGTCCATGATGGCTGTCCATATCGTGGACATTGCGTTACTATTCTCTGAACACCTCACCTGGTCCATGATGTCTCTCCATATCTTGAACATATTGCGTTACTCTTCTCTAAACACCTCACCTGGTATATGGTGTCTGTCCATATCTTAGATATGGCGTTACTCTTCTATGAACAACTCATCTGGTCCATGATGTCTGTCCATATCTTGGACATTGCGTTACTGTTCTCTGAACATCTCACCTGGTCCATGATGGCTGTCCATATCTTGGATATTGCGTTACTATTCTCTGAACAACTCATCTGGTCCATGATGTCTGTCCATATCTTGGATATGGCGTTACTCTTCTCTGAACAACTCACCTGGTCCATGATGTCTGTCCATATCTTGGATATGGCGTTACTCTTCTGTGAACACCTCACCTGGTCCATGATGTCTGTCCATATCTTAGATATGGCGTTACTCTTCTCTAAACACCTCACCTGGTCCATGATGTCTGTCCATATCTTAGATATGGCGTTACTCTTCTCTAAACACCTCACCTGGTATAAGGTGTCTGTCCATATCTTGGATATGGCGTTACTCTTCTCTCAACAACACATCTGGTCCATGATGTCTGTCCATATCTTGGACATTGCGTTACTATTCTCTGAACACCTCACCTGGTCCATGATGGCTGTCCATATCTTGGATATTGCGTTACTCTTCTCTGAACAACTCACCTGGTCCATGATGTCTGTCCATATCTTGGACATTGCGTTCCTATTCTCTGAACATCTCACCTGGTCCATGATGTCTGTTCATATCTTGGACATTGCGTTACTATTCTCTTAACACCTCACCTGGTCCATGATGTCTGTCCATATCTTGGATATGGCGTTACTCTTCTCTGGACAACTCACCTGGTCCATGATGTCTGTCCATATCTTGAAAATGGCGTGACTCTTCTCTGAACAACTCACCTGGTCCATGATGGCTGCCCATATCTTGAACATAGCGTTACTCTTCTATGAACATATCACCTGGTCTATGATGTCTGTCCATATCTTGGATGTGGCGTTACTCTTCTCCGAACAACTCACCTGGTCTATGATGTCTGTCCATATCTTGGATGTGGCGTTACTCTTCTATGAACATGTCACCTGGTCTATGATGTCTGTCCATATCTTGGACATGGCGTTACTCTTCGCTAAGAACCTCATCTGGTCATGATGTCTCTCCATATCTTGGATATGGCGTTACTCTTCTCTGAACACCTCACCTGGTCCATGATGTCTGTCCATATCTTGGACATAGCGTCACTCTTCTCTGAACAACTCACCTGGTCCATGATGTCTGTTCATATCTTGGATATGGCGTTACTCTTCTCTGAACTCCTCACCTGGTCCATGATGGCTGTCCATATCTTAGATATGGCGTTACTCGTCTCTAAACACCTAACCTGGTCCATGATGTCTGTCCATATCTTAGATATGGCGTTTCTCTTCTCTGAACATCTCACCTGGTCCATGATGTCTGTCCATATCTTGGACATGGCGTTACTCTTCTCTAAACACCTCACCTGGTCCATGATGTCTGTCCATATCTTGGACATGGCGTTACTCTTCTCTGAACAACTCATCTGGTCCATAATGTCTGTCCATATCTTGGACATTGCGTTACTATTCTCTGAACACCTCACCTGGTCCATGATGGCTGTCCATATCTTGGATATTGCGTTACTCTTCTCTGAACAACTCATCTGGTCCATGATGTCTGTCCATATCTTGGATATGGCGTTACTCTTCTCTGAACAACTCACCTGGTCCATGATGTCTGTCCATATATCTTGGATATGGCGTTACTCTTCTGTGAACACCTCACCTGGTCCATGATGTCTGTCCATATCTTAGATATGGCGTTACTCTTCTCTAAACACCTCACCTGGTCCATGATGTCTGTCCATATCTTAGATATGGCGTTACTCTTCTCTAAACACCTCACCTGGTATATGGTGTCTGTCCATATCTTGGATATGGCGTTACTCTTCTCTCAACAACACATCTGGTCCATGATGTCTGTCCATATCTTGGACATTGCGTTACTATTCTCTGAACACCTCACCTGGTCCATGATGGCTGTCCATATCTTGGATATTGCGTTACTCTTCTCTGAACAACTCATCTGGTCCATGATGTCTGTCCATATCTTGGATATGGCGTTACTCTTCTCTGAACAACTCACCTGGTCCATGATGTCTGTCCATATCTTGGACATTGCGTTACTCTTCTCTGAACATCTCACCTGGTCCATGATGTCTGTTCATATCTTGGACATTGCGTTACTATTCTCTTAACACCTCACCTGGTCCATGATGGCTGTCCATATCTTGGATATGGCGTTACTCTTCTCTGGACAACTCACCTGGTCCATGATGTCTGTCCATATCTTGAAAATGGCGTGACTCTTCTCTGAACAACTCACCTGGTCCATGATGGCTGCCCATATCTTGAACATAGCGTTACTCTTCTATGAACATATCACCTGGCCTATGATGTCTGTCCATATCTTGGATGTGGCGTTACTCTTCTCCGAACAACTCACCTGGTCTATGATGTCTGTCCATATCTTGGACATTGCGTTACTCTTCTATGAACATGTCACCTGGTCTATGATGTCTGTCCATATCTTGGACATGGCGTTACTCTTCGCTAAGAACCTCATCTGGTCCATGATGTCTCTCCATATCTTGGATATGGCGTTACTCTTCTCTGAACACCTCACCTGGTCCATGATGTCTGTCCATATCTTGGACATAGCGTCACTCTTCTCTGAACAACTCACCTGGTCCATGATGTCTGTTCATATCTTGGATATGGCGTTACTCTTCTCTGAACTCCTCACCTGGTCCATGATGGCTGTCCATATCTTAGATATGGCGTTACTCGTCTCTAAAGACCTAACCTGGTCCATGATGTCTCTCCATATCTTGGATATGGCGTTTCTCTTCTCTGAACATCTCACCTGGTCCATGATGTCTGTCCATATCTTGGACATGGCGTTACTCTTCTCTAAACACCTCACCTGGTCCATGATGTCTGTCCATATCTTAGACATGGCGTTACTCTTCTCTGAACAACTCATCTGGTCCATAATGTCTGTCCATATCTTGGACATTGCGTTACTATTCTCTGAAAACCTCACCTGGTCCATGATGGCTGTCCATATCTTGGATATTGCGTTACTCTTCTCTGAACAACTCATCTGGTCCATGATGTCTGTCCATATCTTGGATATGGCGTTACTCTTCTCTGAACAACTCACCTGGTCCATGATGTCTGTCCATATCTTGGACATTGCGTTACTCTTCTCTGAACACCTCACCTGGTCCATGATGTCTGTCCATATCTTGGACATGGCGTTACTCTTCTCTGAACAACTCACCTGGTTCATGATGGCTGCCCATATCTTCGATGTGGCATTACTCTTCTATGAATATCTCACCTGGTCCATGATGTCTGTCCATATCTTGGATGTGGCGTTACTCTTCTCTAAGCACCTCACCTGGTCCATGATGTCTGTCCATATCTTGGACATTGCGTTACTCTTCTCTGAACAACTCACCTGGTCCATGATGTCTGTCCATATCTTGGATGTGGCATTACTCTTCCCTGAATATCTCACCTGGTCCATGATGGCTGCCCATATCTTGGATGTGTCGTTACTCTTCTCTAAACAACTCACCTGGTCCATGATGTCTGTCCATATCTTGGATATGGCGTTTCTCTTCTCTGAACATCTCACCTGGTCCATGATGGCTGTCCATATCTTTGATATGGCGTTGCTGTCTTCCATGCCCTTGAAGTTAGAGAACTGCAGGGCGTCGCGCAGCGCCTTCTTGATGTAACTGTCAATCTGTACAAAGCATGGAGAGGGGTTGTAGCTTATGTGTTCTACATTATACCATATGTAGAAGGTAAAATAGTTACACCATAACAGATTTTCCTGCAAAATGACCCGAGATGTCAGAGGTAGGATGCACAGTTTTACCATCTCTTCCTGGTTTTATTATATCAATAATTCATGTATTGATATTCCAAAATGAATTAATGACATCACAAATTTGAATGTTAGATATCATAAAATGAATCTGTGAATTTATGACATCTGAAAGTCTCAAGTACTTTATGATATCATAAATTCATTTTCATATCAATTAATTATTTTTGGATACCTAATAGTCGAATTTATTATATCAATATTTCAGTTTGTGATAATAAAACGGAAAATTGCTATATGGATGTAATTAGACTGTTATTAGATATAGTCAGCTCATTGTTTCGAAAAAGAAATGTAGAATGTATGAAAATAGATCAGAAGGTCACTTAGTTCTAAATGGTAAATATAACAAGCGACGCAAAGCGTGGTACCACTTCCCCTGCAGATCTGCAAGCAGTGGAACTCTGATCAGTCAGTACTTTGATGGTTGGCCAAGCCTTGAAACAACCGGGACAACATTATTTACGGTAAGGGGTTTGAGGTTTAGAATGTAGTGAGTGAGTGAGTGAGTTGGGTTTAACGCCGCTTTTAACAGTATTCCAGTTATATCCCGGCGTTTCGAATTTTGCAGTCAGGTAGAGATACACAGCAACTGCTCGCAGCACTGGGAATGGTTTGCTTCAAGTTTTGTAACTCAGGTCTCACTGTAGTTTCTTCATTTTCAAGAACATATGGTGTTTGTTTGTTTGTTTGTTTGTTGTTTAACGCCTTACTAAGCAATATTCCACCTGTATGACGGCGGCCTGTAAATAACCGGGTCTGGGCCAGGCAATGCAGTGATGACATCATGAGCATCGATCCACACAATTGGGATCGATGACATGTATCAACCAAGTCGGCGAGCCTGACCACCCGATCCCGTTAGCCGCCTCTTATGACAAGCAGAGCTGCCTTCTAAGGTATACAAGTATATAATATATGGTGTACAAGTATATGATATATGGTGAACACGTATGTGATATAGGGTGTACAAGTACATGATATACGGTTACAAGTATATGATGTATGGTGTAGAAGTATATGATATAGGGTGTACAAGTATATGATATATGGTGTACAAGTATGTGATATAGGGTGTACAAGTATATAATATATGGTGTACAAGTAAATGATATATAGTGTACAAGTATATGATATAGGGTGTACAAGTATATGATATAGGGTGTAAAAGTATGTGATATAGGGTGTACAAGTATGTGATAAAGGTGGTACAAGTATATGATATATGATGTACAAGTATATGATATAGGGTGTACAAGTATGTGATATATGGTGTACAAGTATTTGATATATGGTGTACAAGTATGTGATATAGGGTGTACAAGTATTTGATATATGGTGTACAAGTATGTGATATAGGGTGTACAAGTATGTGATATAGGGTGTACAAGTATTTGATATATGGTGTACAAGTATGTGATATAGGGTGTACAAGTATATGATATATGGTGTACAAGTATGTGATATAGGGTGTACAAGTATATGATATATGGTGTACAAGTATGTGATATAGGGTGTACAAGTATATGATATATGGTGTACAAGTATGTGATATAGGGTGTACAAGTATATGATATATGGTGTACAAGTATGTGATATAGGGTGTACAAGCGCACGATATAAGGTGTACAAGTGTGTGATATATGGTGTACAAGTATAATGGTGTGCAAGTATAATGGTGTGCAAGTATTAGTTATTGTTTGTACAAATGTGAAAGGATAACCGTTAGAAAACGCAATGAATTTTGTATCTTATAATATTGTGCTACTTCTACCTGAATTTCTGGAAAGTCGGGTCAGAATGTTTTCTGTTTTGTTCATTTTGTTGATGAAAATCCCCTGGCCCTCCAGATCCCCGGATTTGAACCCGATAGAGCACCTGTGGGATGAATTGTATAGACGGCTACGCCGACGTCAACCACAACACCAGACGATGCAGCATTTGGCTATTGTTTGTCCGAGAGGGATACCATTCCCCAGGATGTGATTCGCATACTCGTCTCTTCCATGGGCAGGATATTTCAGGCCGCTATCGATTCCAACGGGGGGCATACGCATCATTGATGGTAGCTGACCTTCACCTTGGACCTTTCCTATGTACCGATACCTGAGATGACTACAATCACCAAGTGTTCTCTCCACAACATTCTGGCTCAATACGTTGTACGGTTTCTCGTATGAATTTTCCTACCTCACACAAATCTGTCTTTGCGTTTCCTTTTTTGAAGAGTATAGTCTTTTCCTTTTTTTACAATATTTAAGAACGGCATTTCGAACCCCAAGAAAAGTACAGCCTGTTCCATGTTCATTCAATAGATCATCACTAAATGTCCTCTTACACCTGCATTATACCAAACTGCTGCATGATTGCCATACTCCATGACGATTGTGAAATGATCTCCTCGCTACTTACATTCAAATAACAATGATTCAAGTATAATTACCATTCCAGAAAACATTTAAAACAGTTGCCATAATAATATTACTAACATACACTGGATCTGCACACCATATATATCAAGTCTAAAGTAGCATTTGATGAAAGATTTGTTCAAACAGTACACTATTTCCTGTGTCGTGTGTTCCTGCTTCACGGGGGCGGTCGGGTAGCCTAGTGGTTAAAGCGTTCGCTCGTCACGCCGAAGACCCGAGTTCGAATCCCGACATGGGTACAATGTGTGAAGCCCATTTCTGGTGTCCCCCGCCGTGATATTGCTGGAATATTGCTAAAAAATTAAAGGGGCGCAAAAACCATATTCACTCACTCACTCCTGCTTCACGGGTTATTTTGTATACCTTAAATGTCTTTCTGATGTAAGGGAGAGAACTCCGTGAGGGGATGTAGTGGGGCGGGGGGGGGGGGGGGGGGGGGGGGGGGGTGGGGGTGGGGGTGGGGGTGGGGGGAAACTCCTCCTGGTATGTTGAACATATACTCACTGCCAAAAGTAACGCGAACCATAGAAACGTATTGAGAGGTACGTTAAGAAAATATGTGTCCAAAGTGTACCAATGAATGACAAAACGAACAATGAGTCAAATGTTACGACAGTGTGGCTTTATTCTTATCACGATATGGTGCACGTGATTTCCAAACTTTTAACGCTAATGCTGCACGAGACAAATAGTAAATCTCGAGTCACCTCGAGCAATGGATCTATGACATCACATGTGATGCGTTTATGAGCATCGGTTCACACAACATGCCAGTGTGTTCGTTTGTGCATCGAACCAATCTAATATCTCTTGAATATTGGTATTCGCGTTTCTTTTTGTGGTGAAAATACATTGTTATTTTATCGTTTTTGTTATTAATAGTTATGACCATTTCCCCCCAACACCGTCTGTGTGTGTTTTCTGCCATACGGTTATATAACAGTAGTTTTTACTGTTAGTTTTCAACTTTAACATAATCATGATTTGATTTGATTTCCATGGGGTTCTAATCTAGATCTAATCATTTTCAGTTGGACCCGTGAAGATCCGGGGTAGAATTGATCTTCAGCAACCCATGCTTGTCGTAAAAGGCTACTTTCTCGTAAGAGGCGACCAACGGGATCGGGTGGTCAGGCTCGCTGACTTCGTTGATACATGTCATCGTATCCCAATTGCGTAGATCGAGGCTCATGTTGTCAATCACTGGATTGTCTGGTCCAGACTCGATTATTTACAGAACGCCGTCATATAGCTGGAATATTGCTGAGTGCGGCGTTAAACAACAAACAAACCCCACAAATGTTCAGCTGCCTTAATATGTTTGTAACCGCCTTTTTAAACATCTTGAATACATCACGTGACAGTTTACCCGTCACAAGCATGGTTACAATAACAACAGACTACCCTTGTCTGTTTGAGAGGAACACGCTGTTATGAATTACGACAAAGATCGGGTGTTGTGCGAGGGTCAGGTATCTTTTCATTGACCATTTCTTGACTACAAGATTCTGTGAATACATATATACCTTTTGGTTTTAAGATATCACAAAATGATGTATTGATATAACAAATTCGATTTTTAGATGTAAATGATTATTGATATCGATAATTCGATAATTTTTATTACAAATTCGATTTACAGATTGAACGTAAGAAGTGTGGGTAATTTAACTTATTTTTATCAGCATGTCATATCAGGCTGAATTAAACATCATTCATTTAAATGTATATTTGATTTTTCACCATCACCATCACCAAATCAATATATCCAACGTACTTTATGTGTGAGAAGACTGACAGGACAATATTGTTGACCAGTAAGTTAATTATTTACTGCCGCTTGACTTTAAGGGAGAATTCATTTTATCCATGAACCTAGAAGTGAATTGTTGATATCACAAATGCGATTTTTTTAATGTAAAATATATATTTGTGATATGTAAACTAAATTGAGTGATATAAAAATCGATTAAGTTATATCTATAATTATTGATATCATACACTAGGGTATTTAGAGTAAAACATTGCCTCATACAGAGACTGGTATATAACCAAACAGGTGAAAGGCATATTGTTACGTTTCAACCCTTGCTTTATAACTGAGACAAATGGTGGCATGAGGTCAAAAACGAACTTTTTGCCACTGTCAGTAGGGTGTTGTTAGGGCACTGTAGAGTGCTGCCTTAAACACAGATGACGCTGCAAAGTTATTTGTTTACCTTCAAGGAGTCACTTTCTGGATTCACAAATGTGTGTTCTTTTAATTAGAAGTCGCAGTTACTGTGTGCCTGTGCGACTCTGTGCCTGTGTGCCTGTGTTTTATGTGTGCCCGTGTCCCTGTGTACCCGTGTGCCTGTGCGACTCTGTGCCTGTGTGCCTGTGTTTTATGTGTGCCCGTGTCCCTGTGTGCCCGTGTGCCTGTGTTTTCTGTGTGCCCGTGTGCCTGTGTGCCTGTGTTTTATGTGTGCCCGTGTGCCTGTGTTTTCTGTGTGCCCGTGTGCCCGTGTGCCTGTGTTTTCTGTGTGCCCGTGTGCCTGTGTTTTATGTGTGCCCGTGTGCCTGTGTTTTCTGTGTGCCCGTGTGCCTGTGTGCCTGTGTTTTATGTGTGCCCGTGTCCCTGTGTGCCCGTGTGCCTGTGTTTTCTGTGTGCCCGTGTGCCTGTGTGCCTGTGTTTTATGTGTGCCCGTGTGCCTGTGTGCCCGTGTGCCTGTGTTTTCTGTGTGCCCGTGTGCCTGTAAGACTGTGTTTTATGTGTGCCCGTGTGCCTGTGTTTTCTGTGTGCCTGTAAGACTGTGTTTTCTGTGTGCCTGTAAGACTGTGTTTTCTGTGTGCCTGTGTTTCCTGTGTGCCTGTGTTTCCTGTGTACCTGTGTTTCCTGTGTTACCTGTGTGACTGTGTCTGTGTGCCTTAGTGACTGTGTTTCCTGTGTGCCTGTGTGCCTGTGTGCCTGTGTGGCTGTGTGGCTGTGTGCCTGTATGCCTGTATGACTGTGTGCCTGTGTGGCTGTGTGCCTGTGTGCCTCTATGCCTGTATGACTGTGTGCCCGTGTGCCTGTATGGCTGTGTGGCTGTGTGACTGTGTACCCGTGTGCCCGTGTGCCTGTGTGCCTGTATGACTGTGTGCCCGTGTGCCTGTGTGGCTGTGTGCCTGTATGACTGTGTGCCCGTGTGCCTGTGTGCCTGTGTGCCTGTATGACTGTGTGCCCGTGTGCCTGTGTGCCTGTGTGGCTGTGTGCCTGTGTGCCTGTGTGCCTGTATGACTGTGTACCCGTGTGCCCGTGTGCCTGTGTGCCTGTATGACTGTGTGCCTGTGTGCCTGTATGACTGTGTGCCCGTGTGCCTGTGTGCCTGTGTGGCTGTGTGCCTGTGTGCCTGTATGACTGTGTGCCCGTGTGCCTGTGTGCCTGTATGACTGTGTGCCCGTGTGCCTGTGTGCCTGTGTGGCTGTGTGACTTTGTGCCTGTGTGCCTGTGTGCCCGTGTGCCCGTGTGCCTGTGTGCCCGTGTGCCTGTATGACTGTGTGCCCGTGTGCCTGTGTGCCTGTGTGGCTGTGTGACTTTGTGCCTGTGTGACTGTGTGACTGTGTGCCCGTGTGCCTGTGTGCCTGGTCACGTGCCGGGTGATACTTACCATGGTGCCGGGCAGCAGGAAGAGAGTGAGGAACACGCCCTCCGCCAGGATGATAACAACCAGGAATACACAATACTGTGGGGAAACATGGCACAGGTTAGTGTTATAACAGTGATATCAACCAGGAATACACAATACTGTGGGGAAACATGGCAGAGGTTAGTGTGATAACAGTGATAACAACCAGGAATACACAATATTGTGGGGACAAACATTACAGAGGTTATGGTGATAACAGTGATAACAACCAGGAATACACAATACTGTGGGGAAACATGGCAGAGGTTAGTGTGATAACAGTGATAACAACCAGGAATACACAATATTGTGGGGACAAACATTACAGAGGTTATGGTGATAACAGTAATAACAACCAGGAATACACAATACTGTGGGGAAACATGGCAGAGGTTATGGTGATAACAGTGATAACAACCAGGAATACACAATACTGTGGGAAAACATCACAGAGGTTAGTGTGATAACAGTGATAACAACCAGGAATACACAATACTGTGGGAAAACATCACAGAGGTTATGGTGATAACAGTGATAACAACCAGGAATAAACAATACTGTGGGAAAACACAACAGAGGTTAGTGTGATAACAATGATAACAACCAGGAACATACAATACTGTGGGAAAACACGGCAGAGGTTTGTGTGATAACAATGATAACAACCAGGAAAATACAATACTGTGGGGAAACACGGCAGAGGTTATGGTGATAACAGTGATAACAACCAGGAATACACAATACTGTGGGAAAACATCACAGAGGTTATGGTGATAACAGTGATAACAACCAGGAATACACAATATTGTGGGGACAAACATCACAGAGGTTATGGTGATAACAGTGATAACAACCAGGAATACACAATATTGTGGGAAAACATCACAGAGGTTAGTGTGATAACAGTGATAACAACCAGGAATACACAATACTGTGGGAAAACACGGCAGAGGTTAGTGTGATAACAGTGATAACAACCAGGAATACACAATACTGTGGAAAAACATCACAGAGGTTATGGTGATAACAGTGATAACAACCAGGAATACACAATACTGTGGGAAAACATCACAGAGGTTATGGTGATAACAGTGATAACAACCAGGAATACACAATACTGTGGGAAAACATCACAGAGGTTATGGTGATAACAACCAGGAATACACAATACTGTGGGAAAACATCACAGAGGTTAGTGTGATAACAGTGAAAACAACCAGGAATACACAATACTGTGAGAAAACATCACAGAGGTTATGGTGATAACAGTGATAACAACCAGGAATACACAATACTGTGGGAAAACATCACAGAGGTTATGGTGATAACAGTGATAACAACCAGGAATACACAATACTGTGGGAAAACACGGCAGAGGTTAGTGTGATAACAGTGATAACAACCAGGAATACACAATACTGTGGGAAAACATCACAGAGGTTATGGTGATAACAGTGATAACAACCAGGAATACACAATACTGTGGGAAAACATCACAGAGGTTATGGTGATAACAGTGATAACAACCAGGAATACACAATACTGTGGGAAAACATCACAGAGGTTATGGTGATAACAGTGATAACAACCAGGAATACACAATACTGTGGGAAAACACGGCAGAGGTTAGTGTGATAACAGTGATAACAACCAGGAATACACAATACTGTGGGAAAACATCACAGAGGTTATGGTGATAACAGTGATAACAACCAGGAATACACAATACTGTGGGAAAACATCACAGAGGTTATGGTGATAACAGTGATAACAACCAGGAATACACAATACTGTGGGGACAAACATCACAGAGGTTATGGTGATAACAGTGATAACAACCAGGAATACACAATACTGTGGGAAAACATCACAGAGGTTAGTGTGATAACAGTGATAACAACCAGGAATACACAATACTGTGGGAAAACATCACAGAGGTTATGGTGATAACAGTGATAACAACCAGGAATACACAATACTGTGGGAAAACATCACAGAGGTTATGGTGATAACAGTGATAACAACCAGGAATACACAATACTGTGGGAAAACACGGCAGAGGTTAGTGTAATAACAGTGATAACAACCAGGAATACACAATACTGTGGGAAAACATCACAGAGGTTATGGTGATAACAGTGATAACAACCAGGAATACACAATACTGTGGGAAAACATCACAGAGGTTAGTGTGATAACAGTGATAACAACCAGGAATACACAATACTGTGGGAAAACACGGCAGAGGTTAGTGTGATAACAGTGATAACAACCAGGAATACACAATACTGTGGGAAAACATCACAGAGGTTATGGTGATAACAGTGATAACAACCAGGAATACACAATACTGTGGGAAAACATCACAGAGGTTATGGTGATAACAGTGATAACAACCAGGAATACACAATACTGTGGGAAAACATCACAGAGGTTATGGTGATAACAGTGATAACAACCAGGAATACACAATACTGTGGGGAAACATGGCACAGGTTAGTGTTATAACAGTGATATCAACCAGGAATACACAATACTGTGGGGAAACATGGCAGAGGTTAGTGTGATAACAGTGATAACAACCAGGAATACACAATATTGTGGGGACAAACATTACAGAGGTTATGGTGATAACAGTGATAACAACCAGGAATACACAATACTGTGGGGAAACATGGCAGAGGTTAGTGTGATAACAGTGATAACAACCAGGAATACACAATATTGTGGGGACAAACATTACAGAGGTTATGGTGATAACAGTAATAACAACCAGGAATACACAATACTGTGGGGAAACATGGCAGAGGTTATGGTGATAACAGTGATAACAACCAGGAATACACAATACTGTGGGAAAACATCACAGAGGTTAGTGTGATAACAGTGATAACAACCAGGAATACACAATACTGTGGGAAAACATCACAGAGGTTAGTGTGATAACAGTGATAACAACCAGGAATAAACGATACTGTGGGAAAACACAACAGAGGTTAGTGTGATAACAATGATAACAACCAGGAACATACAATACTGTGGGAAAACACGGCAGAGGTTTGTGTGATAACAATGATAACAACCAGGAAAATACAATACTGTGGGGAAACACGGCAGAGGTTATGGTGATAACAGTGATAACAACCAGGAATACACAATACTGTGGGAAAACATCACAGAGGTTATGGTGATAACAGTGATAACAACCAGGAATACACAATATTGTGGGGACAAACATCACAGAGGTTATGGTGATAACAGTGATAACAACCAGGAATACACAATATTGTGGGAAAACATCACAGAGGTTAGTGTGATAACAGTGATAACAACCAGGAATACACAATACTGTGGGAAAACACGGCAGAGGTTAGTGTGATAACAGTGATAACAACCAGGAATACACAATACTGTGGAAAAACATCACAGAGGTTATGGTGATAACAGTGATAACAACCAGGAATACACAATACTGTGGGAAAACATCACAGAGGTTATGGTGATAACAGTGATAACAACCAGGAATACACAATACTGTGGGAAAACATCACAGAGGTTATGGTGATAACAACCAGGAATACACAATACTGTGGGAAAACATCACAGAGGTTAGTGTGATAACAGTGAAAACAACCAGGAATACACAATACTGTGAGAAAACATCACAGAGGTTATGGTGATAACAGTGATAACAACCAGGAATACACAATACTGTGGGAAAACATCACAGAGGTTATGGTGATAACAGTGATAACAACCAGGAATACACAATACTGTGGGAAAACACGGCAGAGGTTAGTGTGATAACAGTGATAACAACCAGGAATACACAATACTGTGGGAAAACATCACAGAGGTTATGGTGATAACAGTGATAACAACCAGGAATACACAATACTGTGGGAAAACATCACAGAGGTTATGGTGATAACAGTGATAACAACCAGGAATACACAATACTGTGGGAAAACATCACAGAGGTTATGGTGATAACAGTGATAACAACCAGGAATACACAATACTGTGGGAAAACACGGCAGAGGTTAGTGTGATAACAGTGATAACAACCAGGAATACACAATACTGTGGGAAAACATCACAGAGGTTATGGTGATAACAGTGATAACAACCAGGAATACACAATACTGTGGGAAAACATCACAGAGGTTAGTGTGATAACAGTGATAACAACCAGGAATACACAATACTGTGGGAAAACATCACAGAGGTTATGGTGATAACAGTGATAACAACCAGGAATACACAATACTGTGGGAAAACATCACAGAGGTTATGGTGATAACAGTGATAACAACCAGGAATACACAATACTGTGGGAAAACACGGTAGAGGTTAGTGTAATAACAGTGATAACAACCAGGAATACACAATACTGTGGGAAAACATCACAGAGGTTATGGTGATAACAGTGATAACAACCAGGAATACACAATACTGTGGGAAAACATCACAGAGGTTATGGTGATAACAGTGATAACAACCAGGAATACACAATATTGTGGGAAAACACGGCAGAGGTTAGTGTGATAACAGTGATAACAACCAGGAATACACAATACTGTGGGAAAACATCACAGAGGTTATGGTGATAACAGTGATAACAACCAGGAATACACAATACTGTGGGAAAACATCACAGAGGTTATGGTGATAACAGTGATAACAACCAGGAATACACAATACTGTGGGAAAACATCACAGAGGTTATGGTGATAACAGTGATAACAACCAGGAATACACAATACTGTGGGAAAACACGGCAGAGGTTAGTGTGATAACAGTGATAACAACCAGGAATACACAATACTGTGGGAAAACATCACAGAGGTTATGGTGATAACAGTGATAACAACCAGGAATACACAATACTGTGGGAAAACATCACAGAGGTTAGTGTGATAACAGTGATAACAACCAGGAATACACAATACTGTGGGAAAACATCACAGAGGTTATGGTGATAACAGTGATAACAACCAGGAATACACAATACTGTGGGAAAACATCACAGAGGTTATGGTGATAACAGTGATAACAACCAGGAATACACAATACTGTGGGAAAACACGGCAGAGGTTAGTGTAATAACAGTGATAACAACCAGGAATACACAATACTGTGGGAAAACATCACAGAGGTTATGGTGATAACAGTGATAACAACCAGGAATACACAATACTGTGGGAAAACATCACAGAGGTTATGGTGATAACAGTGATAACAACCAGGAATACACAATACTGTTGGAAAACATCACAGAGGTTATGGTGATAACAGTGAAAACAACCAGGAATACACAATACTGTGGGAAAACATCACAGAGGTTATGGTGATAACAGTGATAACAACCAGGAATACACAATACTGTGGGAAAACATCACAGAGGTTATGGTGATAACAGTGATAACAACCAGGAATACACAATACTGTGGGAAAACAGGGCAGAGGTTAGTGTGATAACAGTGATAACAACCAGGAATACACAATACTGTGGGAAAACATCACAGAGGTTAGTGTGATAACAGTGATAACAACCAGGAATACACAATACTGTGGGAAAACATCACAGAGGTTATGGTGATAACAGTGATAACAACCAGGAATACACAATACTGTGGGAAAACATCACAGAGGTTATGGTGATAACAGTGATAACAACCAGGAATACACAATACTGTGGGAAAACATCACAGAGGTTATGGTGATAACAGTGATAACAACCAGGAATACACAATACTGTGGGGACAAACATCACAGAGGTTATGGTGATAACAGTGATAACAACCAGGAATACACAATACTGTGGGAAAACATCACAGAGGTTATGGTGATAACAGTGATAACAACCAGGAATACACAATATTGTGGGGACAAACATCACAGAAGTTATGGTGATAACAGTGATAACAACCAGGAATACACAATATTGTGAGAAAACATCACAGAGGTTAGTGTGATAACAGTGATAACAACCAGGAATACACAATACTGTGGGAAAACACGGCAGAGGTTAGTGTGATAACAGTGATAACAACCAGGAATACACAATACTGTGGAAAAACATCACAGAGGTTATGGTGATAACAGTGATAACAACCAGGAATACACAATACTGTGGGAAAACATCACAGAGGTTATGGTGATAACAGTGATAACAACCAGGAATACACAATACTGTGGGAAAACATCACAGAGGTTATGGTGATAACAACCAGGAATACACAATACTGTGGGAAAACATCACAGAGGTTAGTGTGATAACAGTGAAAACAACCAGGAATACACAATACTGTGAGAAAACATCACAGAGGTTATGGTGATAACAGTGATAACAACCAGGAATACACAATACTGTGGGAAAACATCACAGAGGTTATGGTGATAACAGTGATAACAACCAGGAATACACAATACTGTGGGAAAACACGGCAGAGGTTAGTGTGATAACAGTGATAACAACCAGGAATACACAATACTGTGGGAAAACATCACAGAGGTTATGGTGATAACAGTGATAACAACCAGGAATACACAATACTGTGGGAAAACATCACAGAGGTTATGGTGATAACAGTGATAACAACCAGGAATACACAATACTGTGGGAAAACATCACAGAGGTTATGGTGATAACAGTGATAACAACCAGGAATACACAATACTGTGGGAAAACATCACAGAGGTTATGGTGATAACAGTGATAACAACCAGGAATACACAATACTGTGGGAAAACACGGCAGAGGTTAGTGTGATAACAGTGATAACAACCAGGAATACACAATACTGTGGGAAAACATCACAGAGGTTATGGTGATAACAGTGATAACAACCAGGAATACACAATACTGTGGGAAAACATCACAGAGGTTATGGTGATAACAGTGATAACAACCAGGAATACACAATACTGTGGGAAAACATCACAGAGGTTATGGTGATAACAGTGATAACAACCAGGAATACACAATACTGTGGGAAAACATCACAGAGGTTATGGTGATAACAGTGATAACAACCAGGAATACACAATACTGTGGGGACAAACATCACAGAGGTTATGGTGATAACAGTGATAACAACCAGGAATACACAATACTGTGGGAAAACATCACAGAGGTTAGTGTGATAACAGTGATAACAACCAGGAATACACAATACTGTGGGAAAACATCACAGAGGTTATGGTGATAACAGTGATAACAACCAGGAATACACAATACTGTGGGAAAACATCACAGAGGTTATGGTGATAACAGTGAAAACAACCAGGAATACACAATACTGTGGGAAAACATCACAGAGGTTATGGTGATAACAGTGATAACAACCAGGAATACACAATACTGTGGGAAAACATCACAGAGGTTATGGTGATAACAGTGATAACAACCAGGAATACACAATACTGTGGGAAAACACGGCAGAGGTTAGTGTGATAACAGTGATAACAACCAGGAATACACAATACTGTGGGAAAACATCACAGAGGTTAGTGTGATAACAGTGATAACAACCAGGAATACACAATACTGTGGGAAAACATCACAGAGGTTATGGTGATAACAGTGATAACAACCAGGAATACACAATACTGTGGGAAAACATCACAGAGGTTATGGTGATAACAGTGATAACAACCAGGAATACACAATACTGTGGGAAAACATCACAGAGGTTATGGTGATAACAGTGATAACAACCAGGAATACACAATACTGTGGGGACAAACATCACAGAGGTTATGGTGATAACAGTGATAACAACCAGGAATACACAATACTGTGGGAAAACATCACAGAGGTTAGTGTGATAACAGTGATAACAACCAGGAATACACAATACTGTGGGAAAACATCACAGAGGTTATGGTGATAACAGTGATAACAACCAGGAATACACAATACTGTGGGAAAACATCACAGAGGTTATGGTGATAACAGTGATAACAACCAGGAACATACAGTACTGTTAAGAGTAGCACGACGGATGCAAGGATGATAACAGTGATACCAGCTTGAAAAATACGGCACTAGGGGGAATCGTCAACTGTTTGATAGATGTACACCCTGCGTTTACAGAGAAACAAAGTGGACTTGAATAGGTAGCTAGGACAGCCAATTAACCAGAACCTTGTCTCAACAGGGAATACTGTCTAACACCATATTAGTCGCAAAGTTTAAGGAACCATTACCAGTCATTTCGGCTTGGTACAATTAGGAGATCCACATGACTTTTCAGATTTGCGAGCGTTACTGAAATTTGATACTCGTACACTTCATTGGGCGCAAGATATTTCAAACGTTCGCATTTCAACGCCTGTAAATCGGAACATACATATCAGCCCTCTCGGTTGTTAAACTGAAGAATATGAAAACAAAAACTTTTTATCTGATACATATCAACTGCATCATATCATTGGCCAGTTTTCGCAACATGATACCTATCAGCATGAATACTCAGTTTCAAGATTTCTCGGCTCAATATACCATTTATCAACGTTTCAAACTCTCCTCGTTTTACATTCAGAGTGACGTATGCGTGTGAGGAACGATTACCACTCTGTCATAACTCTCTTCAAAATCTGTTTTTGTCAAAAGAATTACCAGTAAGAGTTGCTGATAGTGAGAACACAGTGAGATAATGATAACTCCTTTTACGCAATGACTGTACCCATCTGACGTGACAGATCACACACTCGTCCTTGGAGGAGCTGTCACGCGATTCTGTATAGGTCTGCATGATAATGACGATAACCTCTTACCAAAACGAGGAAGCATTTAGACTTGCAACATCCCCCTAGCAGACCGGAACCGGAAATGACGATGAAGCTTGAGCTGACAGCAATGAGAGGCATACTGATATTCTGGATGAGCTCTTTGATCATCGTCTTTATTTCATCTGCTGAGATGCTGGTCTTGAAGGCGGCTGGCAGGTGCTCCCCGGCGGACTGCTTGAGCGAGTCCAGTGCACCCTTCACCATGTCTGTCACCATCCCCAGCATGTCGTCCAGGATCTCCTGGTTGTACTCCACCAGCATCCCGACCACCAGCAGCCCGATAGACAGCAGCTGTAGGAGAGTGAGTGAGTGAGTCAGTGACAAGCAGCCCGATAGACAGCAGCTGTAGGAGAGTGAGTGAGTGAGTCAGTGACAAGCAGCCCGATAGACAGCAGCTGTAGCAGAGTGAGTGAGTGAGTCAGTGACAAGCAGCCCGATAGACAGCAGCTGTAGCAGAGTGAGTGAGTGACTGAGTCAGTGACAAGCAGCCCGATAGACAGCAGCTGTAGCAGAGTGAGTGAGTGAGTGAGTGAGTGAGTGACAAGCAGCCCGACAGACAGCAGCTGTAGCAGAGTGAGTGAGTGAGTGAGTGACAAGCAGCCCGATAGACAGCAGCTGTAGCAGAGTGAGTGAGTGAGTCAGTGACAAGCAGCCCGATAGACAGCAGCTGTAGCAGAGTGATTGAGTGAGTCAGTGACCAGCAGCCCGATAGACAGCAGCTGTAGCAGAGTGAGTGAGTGAGTCAGTGACAAGCAGCCCGATAGACAGCAGCTGTAGCAGAGTGAGTGAGTGAGTGAGTCAGTGACAAGCAGCCCGATAGACAGCAGCTGTAGCAGAGTGAGTGAGTGAGTGAGTCAGTGACAAGCAGCTCGACAGACAGCAGCTGTAGCAGAGTGAGTGAGTGAGTGAGTGACAAGCAGCCCGATAGACAGCAGCTGTAGCAGAGTGAGTGAGTGAGTCAGTGACAAGCAGCCCGATAGACAGCAGCTGTAGCAGAGTGATTGAGTGAGTCAGTGACAAGCAGCCCGATAGACAGCAGCTGTAGCAGAGTGATTGAGTGAGTCAGTGACAAGCAGCCCGATAGACAGCAGCTGTAGGAGAGTGAGTGAGTGAGTGAGTGAGTGAGTGAGTGAGTCAGTGAGTCAGTGAGTCAGTGAGTCAGTGACCAGCAGCCCGACAGACAGCAGCTGTAGCAGAGTGAGTGAGTGAGTGAGTCAGTGACAAGCAGCCCGATAGACAGCAGCTGTAGCAGAGTGATTGAGTGAGTCAGTGACAAGCAGCCCGATAGACAGCAGCTGTAGCAGAGTGAGTGAGTGAGTGAGTGACCAGCAGCCGGATAGACAGCAGCTGTAGCAGAGTGATTGAGTGAGTCAGTGACCAGCAGCCCGATAGACAGCAGCTGTAGCAGAGTGAGTGAGTGAGTCAGTGACAAGCAGCCCGATAGACAGCAGCTGTAGCAGAGTGAGTGAGTGAGTGATTGACCAGCAGCCCGATAGACAGCAGCTGTAGGAGAGTGAGTGAGTCAGTGACCAGCAGCCGGATAGACAGCAGCTGTAGGAGAGTGAGTGAGTGAGTGAGTGAGTGACCAGGAGGCCGATAGACAGCAGCTGTAGCAGAGTGAGTGAGTGAGTCAGTGACAAGCAGCCCGATAGACAGCAGCTGTAGGAGAGTGAGTAAGTGAGTCAGTGACAAGCAGCCCGATAGACAGCAGCTGTAGGAGAGTGAGTGAGTGAGTCAGTGACAAGCAGCCCGATAGACAGCAGCTGTAGGAGAGTGAGTGAGTGAGTCAGTGACAAGCAGCCCGATAGACAGCAGCTGTAGGAGAGTGAGTGAGTGAGTCAGTGACAAGCAGCCCAATAGACAGCAGCTGTAGCAAAGTGAGTGAGTGAGTCAGTGACAAGCAGCCCGATAGACAGCAGCTGTAGGAGAGTGAGTGAGTGAGTCAGTGACAAGCAGCCCGATAGACAGCAGCTGTAGGAGAGTGATTGAGTGAGTCAGTGACAAGCAGCCCGATAGACAGCAGCTGTAGGAGAGTGAGTGAGTGAGTCAGTGACAAGCAGCCCGATAGACAGCAGCTGTAGGAGAGTGAGTGAGTGAGTGAGTGAGTGAGTGAGTGAGTGAGTGAGTGAGTGAGTGAGTGAGTGAGTGAATGAGTGAGTGAGTGGGTGAGTGAGTGAGTGAGCACTACAACAATAACATGACTGGGCTTCACACATTGTACCAATGTCGGGAATTGAACCCCGGTCTTCGTCGTGATGAGCGAACGCTTTAACCACTAGGCTACCCGACCGCCCCGCTGTAGGTCAGACAAGGTGTTAAACCAGTATAACAACCTCCCGGCCGATAGACATAGCTGTAGGATAGACAAGGTGTTAAACCAGTATAACAACCTGCCGACCAATAGACACCAGTTGTAGGATAGACAAGGTGTTAAACCAGGATAACAACCTGCCGACTTATAAACAACAGCTGTAGGATAGACAAGGTGTTAAACCAGTATAACAACCTGCCGGCCGATAGACAGCAGCTGTAGGACAGACAAGGTGTTAAACCAGTATAACAACCTGCCGGCCGATAGACAGCAGCTGTAGGACAGACAAAGTGTTAAACCAGTATAACAACCTCCAGGCCGATAGACACCAGCTGTAGGATAGACAAAGTGTTAAACCAGTATAACAACCTGCCGGCCGATAGACAGCAGCTGTAGGACAGACAAGGTGTTAAACCAGTATAACAACCTGCCGGCCGATAGACAGCAGCTGTAGGATAGACAAGGTGTTAAACCAGTATAACAACCTCCAGGCCGATAGACAGCAGCTGTAGGATAGACAAGGTGTTAAACCAGTATAACAACCTGCCGGCCGATAGACAGCAGCTGTAGGACAGACAAGGTGTTAAACCAGTATAACAACCTGCCGGCCGATAGACAGCAGCTGTAGGATAGACAAGGTGTTAAACCAGTATAACAACCTCCAGGCCGATAGACACCAGCTGTAGGATAGACAAAGTGTTAAACCAGTATAACAACCTGCCGGCCGATAGACAGCAGCTGTAGGATAGACAAGGTGTTAAACCAGTATAACAACCTGCCGGCCGATAGACACCAGCTGTAGGATAGACAAGGTGTTAAACCAGTATAACAACCTGCCGGCCGATAGACACCAGCTGTAGGACAGACAAGGTGTTAAACCAGTATAACAACCTGCCGGCCGATAGACACCAGCTGTAGGATAGACAAGGTGTTAAACCAGTATAACAACCTGCCGGCCGATAGACACCAGCTGTAGGACAGACAAGGTGTTAAACCAGTATAACAACCTGCCGGCCGATAGACACCAGCTGTAGGATAGACAAGGTGTTAAACCAGTATAACAACCTGCCGACCAATAGACACCAGGTGTAGGATAGACAAGGTGTTAAACCAGTATAACAACCTCCTGGCCGATAGACACCTGATGTAGGATAGACAAGGTGTTAAACCAGTATAACAACCTCCCGACCAATAGACACCAGCTGTAGGACAGACAAAGTGTTAAACCAGTATAACAACCTGCCGGCCGATAGACACCAGCTGTAGGTTAGACATCATATCACTTATGTAGCGTCGAGATTTGGACAGGCTAATTGTAGGATATCTATGAGTGGTTTTAACCAAATAAAGTATTGCCGTCGCCAGGACCCTCCCGGCTACACATTGCAACACCGCTGTCTAATGGTGTGGGGCCTTATGCATCGACGTGCACGAGATATGTGGGCTGTTAGTCCGTGTATATAAACGCTAATGTGATCGATTGTTTGAGCAAGATCAACAATGATGACGCGAAGAGTTCATTCCTGCATGCCCCCCATTGGTGTCAGTATGCCCCAACTCCAATACACCCCTAAAGCCAGGGTATGAAACTCCCAAAACTTTCAGCCAGTCCACAGGACTGGCTACCTGAAATACTTGCCAGCCCTGACCAAAACCCGCCTGCCCACAATAATCATATGTTTTTCAGGATAAGCTTACGGGGTTTCTTTTTGGTTACATTTGATCATTCATCTTTACATGTGAATTAATGCTTATTATCGGGAAATATTTAGAATATTTTCACATATGAAATATAACCCGACCGTCGGGCAGGGGAATTTGAAAATCTGGCAGCCCGAGTTGAAATCAACCCGTCTCGGACGGTCGGGCAGGCAGGTATTTCGAACACTGCTAAAGCCCAAGTCACACCAGGCTAGCGACCAGGTCACGACCTAGTTGCCATCGTAAAATGTTGGAATCGCGGGCAAATCGTATGAAGGGCGCACGGACTGATCGCAAAGGTCGTGGGTGATCGGCAGAGCAAAATCAGTCGCAGCAAGGTGGATTGTCATCTTCAAAACTTCTGACCTGCGATTCATAATCGTAAGAGGTCGCAGACAGGTCTTACATGCTTGTACCACCAGTCGCGCATGGAGGCACCACCAGTCATAATCGCGCTTCAAGAAGACGCACGATTGGTCGTGCTACTGGTCGTGCCACCTCACGATTGGTCGTGCTACTGGTCGTGCCACCTCACGATTGGTCGAGCTACTGGTCGTGCCACCTCACGATTGGTCGTGCTACTGGTCGTGCCACCTCACGATTGGTCGTGCTACTGGTCGTGCCACCTCACGATTGGTCGTGCTACTGGTCGTGCCACCTCACGATTGGTCGTGCTACTGGTCGTGCCACCTCACGATTGGTCGTGCTACTGGTCGTGCCACCTCACGATTGGTGGTACTACTGGTCGTGCCACCTCACGATTGGTCGTGCTACTGGTCGTGCCACCTCACGATTGGTGGTACTACCTATCGTACGACCTCACGATCGGTCGGTCAACCCGTCATGACCTGTCCCGACTGGTTGCAAGACCTAACGATTGGCATTCGTGACCAACTCGTGTTATTCCGGGACAAGCCGAATAGCGACTCGTGCCCCTCCCATGGCCATTTTTGCGACTGGGTTCCGTCTTAGCGCAAACGGGCATACCTAAAACAATTGTCAACTCGTTCCGTAATGGTTCACATATATTTCCCCATATTTTTATATATATTTCAGATGCAATTTAAAGCACATCGGGACTTTCGGAATTATGCACTATGATTGAATACATTTAACTGTGTCTTTGGTATATTTTTAGGTGCAAGACATATGTAAAATCAAAAATTAATTCTGAGGGATTATTTGACAAAGAACTCGAAATCATACGCGCATTCTGTTTGGTTTGTCGTATTTTCGCACATAACATTCATCGGTTGAGGACGAGTCTGCTTGCAGGTTACGGAAAGGGGCGAGTGGTGACGAATGAACGATTGGTGGTACCACCAGTCTTTAGTTCGCAGACCAGTGTATTTATATTTGGAGTGGCTTCTGAGGTTCAGGTCAATGTCCACTACGAGCCCCGAAGACAGCATTTCGCTTTGTTCGCACGACTGCCACGACTATTCGTACGATCGGTCGCTGATCGCCACCGCTAGTCGCACTATTACCTACGATTGAACTTGCGATCGATCTTCTCCAATCGTTGGCGATCGCACGACCACGCGTACCACAAATCGTACGATTAAGCTACAGTCACACAGACAATGCGACAGCGATTCAACCTCTTGGCGACTGATTTCCTTTTCGACCGACTGGCGATCGCTGAGACCGTTGCTCCTACTTCTGCCCATGTTTGGAATTAGGGTATGACCGACGACCAAACAGCGATAGGTTTTGCAACTTGTCAGTGATCAATCGGCAACTGTTCACCGCAGGTACGACGATATATTTGCAACTGGTTGAGACCGATCGGTGACTAGTCAGCGAATCTTTGGTGACTTGTTGAAACTGAACGAGGAGTTGTACGTGACTAGTTCTCGATCGATCACCGATCAAAACATAATGCATATAAAAAGGGTTTCTTTTCTGAATCAAATAATTTCTTTGCAAGTTGTCAAGATGTTACCAGCAGAACAGTCGCAGTTGCTCCCCGTGCAGAGAAAAAATCAAAATGCTGCAGTTGCTGCCATGATGATGTACAGAAGATTGAGAAGGACAAGGCGGAGGCAGTATTGGCTGAGATCTTGGATCGCAAGAAGGTCACAGCAAGGAGACTATAAGAATAAGATGGCAGAGCTGGGGAGAAAGTGGTGATTATGTGGGCTTCCTCAGAATGGATGCTGTCAACACATGGCCTCTCTGGCTCTTCCTCCTCATCAGTGTCCGCCTCTTCTTTTGTTGAGATGTTGTTGGCTCTGGCTCCATCGTAGCAGACCTGTGCATCACAGCAGGTGTCTCTATTGTATCTTCTACAATTTCTGGTTCTTTTGTGTTCCTGCCTTTACGGACCAAAGTGATGACTGAAAATTGACTTTCTGAGTACTTAAGACAAAATGATGCTGTGATGCACAGACAGGCCTATAGACGGTGACATGCTGCACACCAAACGGCGAATGATCGACGCACGCCTGGAAACCTCTTTGCAACCGATCGACAACCAGTCACCGATGAAGCGCCGGTCTATCACCGCCTCATCTCTGATCAATCACCGATAGGTAACCAATAGAGTTAACACCCTTGTGTAGACGAAACCGATCGCCGCACAGTGGAAAACATGATCCGGTGTGACTTTGGCTTAGCTGCGACTGCTTGCTTTGTTAACACCCATCAGTGCCAGTGGGTTTCTTCAAACTGGTAAACGCGCATAACTTGTGTCTGTTCTATTCACGGTGACTAACGTGATGGGATGGTCACGGTGACTAACGTGATGGAATGGCCACGATGATTTACGTGATGGGATGGTCACGGTGACTAACGTGATGGGATGGTCACGGTGTCTAACGTGATGGGATGGTCACGGTGACTAACGTGATTGGGTGGTCACGGTGACTAACGTGATGGGATGGTCACGGTGACTAACGTGATGGGATGGTCACGGTGACTAACGTGATGGGATGGTCACGGTGACTAACGTGATGGGATGGTCACGGTGACTAACGTGATGGGATGGCCACGGTGTCTAGCGTGATGGGATGGTCACGGTGGCTAACGTGATTGGGTGGTCACGGTGACTAACGTGATGGGATGGTCACGGTGACTAACGTGATGGGATGGTCACGGTGACTAACGTGATTGGGTGGTCACGGTGACTAACGTGATGGGATGGTCACGGTGACTAACGTGATGGGATGGTCACGGTGACTAACGTGATTGGGTGGTCACGGTGACTAACGTGATGGGATGGTCACGGTGACTAACGTGATGGGATGGTCGAGGTGACTAACGTGATGGGATGGTCACGGTGACTAACGTGATTGGGTGGTCACGGTGACTAACGTGATGGGATGGTCACGGTGACTAACGTGATGGGATGGTCACGGTGACTAACGTGATGGGATGGTCACGGTGACTAACGTGATGGGATGGTCACGGTGGCTAACGTGATGGGATGGTCACGGTGACTAACGTGATGGGATGGTCATGGTGGCTAACGTGATGGTGACCTGGTTGATTGCGGGTCGTCGTGCCCAGTCGGTGTCGCAATAACTAGATCGTCGGGACATACTTCTTAATAAGCATCATAGTAACCGTCAACGATGTATTGCAATAGTCACCGTCGTGTGCCGGACAATGTGGAATGCATGATTTCATAGTGAATATTTACATTTGTAAGACATGATGTTCATGGTGTTTTGTTTATTTGTAAACAGAGAATTGAGATCTTTGTGTTTCAATATTGGGAATATTATATGTCTGGAATATAATTATTATATTTTTACACGAGCCTCTGGAATAGGTCTCCAGCACTCTACTGCCGGTCGTGAGATGAGATTAAAATGACTATATTCTCTTTTTGCGGTGACGATATTGATGCTGTAATAACTGACTTGGGAACTCCTGAAGCATTGTCTACAAGTACAGTAAACTACGGTTATAACGAACTCAAAGGGACTACTAATTTTAGTTCGTTATAACCGTAATTCGTTATAAGCATATATACAGCATAACTACAGCATATAGTCGGGACTAAAAAGTTAGTTCGTTATATCCGTTAGTTCGTTATAAGCGTGTTCGTTATAACCGTAGTTTACTGTAGTGTATTTACCAACTGCGAGGTTGATATACATAATAAACTAAGACTGACAGATGCACAAGATGGATTTTCAATGACGATGTGCTAAGACTGACAATTGGTACCTCCCTTTAAGTGACTAGGTGACTCGGCGGTCAGGTTCGGGAACCTGGTCGATGCGCTGATTTTCCCTCGATTGTACGTCGGTTGTACGTCGGCTGTACATCTGTTGTACGTCGGTTGTACGTCGGTTGTATGTCGGTTGTACATCGGTTGTACGTCGGTTGTACGTCGGTTGTACGTCGGTTGTACGTCGGCTGTACATCGGTTGTACCTCGGTTGTACATCGGTTGTACGTCGGCTGTACGTCGGTTGTACATCGGTTGTACGTCGGCTATACATCGGTTGTACGTCGGTTGTACGTCGGCTGTACATCGGTTGTAAGTCGGCTGTACATCGGTTGTACGTCGGCTGTACATCGGTTGTACGTCGGCTGTACATCGGTTGTACGTCGGCTGTACATCGGTTGTACGTCGGTTGTATGTCGGTTGTACGTCGGCTGTACATCGGTTGTACGTCGGTTGTACGTCGGCTGTACATCAGTTGTACGTCGGTTGTACGTCGGTTGTAAATCGGTTGTGTATCGATTGTACGTAGGTTGACGTAGGTTATGAATCGGTTGTGCGTCGATTATGCGTCGGTTGTGCGTCGATTGTACGTCGGTTGTATGTCGGTTGTGTGTCGACCTTGCATCGTATCCGGCGGCGTGGGAAATTGTTCATATTATCAATGACTGTTTTAGTTGATCAAGACTCGGTTATTTGTAGTGATATAGCTTGGAAACTTTCGATTACAGTGTAAACCCACTAATAAACGAAAAGGGTTGAATCACGACCCATACTCACCAGGAACGAGCTGTTGAGACTAACTATAGCCGTCCTGCCCATGCCGGCGAACCCCATGATGTCGTCACTGTTGTCGTCCCTGGATGTACCTGCAGCAGCTGGTCCTCGTCAAAAGGATGACACACACTTCATCTTAGTGAGTAGCATCTCCCAGTACATTTGTCCCAGTCGAAAACTCCCCAACCCTCGAGTCAGCCTGGGACCGTCAGGAAAGTTCTGTGGTCAATCTTGTAGCACGATCACGCTCGGGTGTGTTTGTTCAAGGCTCAATCGCCGCCATTACAAGTTCACAGTAAGATAAAATCAGCACGTTCAAAGCAAGCATATTATTTTCTAGTGGTCGCTAATTGTGATTTACAAGTTCGACGTGTAACCGTATACCTGTATATTCAATATTTATGAAGCGGCTTTCACTCGGGCCGATGTATCGATAGCGCGCTGTATCGGCAGGCTATAATTACGCTTTTACAGACGTAATTTCCTCCGGCAGATTAAATAGCTGCAGTGACAGCATAAAACCCGCCCTTATGAAGTATTTAAGCGATATACCAAAATAAGATAAATAGTAAATTCTAAAGGTTTTAATGTTTTAATACGCATAGCTGTTGTTTACAAATTCAGCGTTGAACAAATTTCCTTTGTGGGATATCACAGTGCTTTGCATGCATATTTTTAAAGTGTATTTTAGTTAAATTGATCTCCTATTTTAATTAAGTCATCCTTTAATTTTTTTTTATTTCCAGTTGTTTCTGTAGTGAGTAAGTATAAGATATACGGTTGAACAACTTCTTTATTACAATTAGGAGCGACGATTCGGTGTAGGTTCTAACACTGTTATCAAGTGATCACTTGCTTGATAACGGTGCTAGAGCCTACTCTGAGTGGGTATGGTTTTACGCCGCTTTTAGCAATATTCCAGCAATATCACGGTGGGAAACCCCAGAAATGGGCTTTACACATTGTTCTCATGTCGGGAATCGAACCCGGGTCTTCGGCGTGACGAGCGAACGCTTTAACCACTAGGCTACCCGACCGCCCCTAGAACCTACTCTGAAACGTCGTTCCTTATTGTAATAAAGAAGTTGTTCATCAATATATGTTTTGCTTACTGTATACTCCAACTTCTAAATACCCCTCAAAGACGTTACTGTAGTGGTTCATGTAGCGATTCGCTGTGTAGAGTTGCGTCCCTTGGACACGCCAGAAACCTATGGTCGTGGGTTTGAATCCCGGTTCGACCCGATTATGTTTCTAGGTTTGTCAGCACCATACCCGTGCTCGTGGGTTTCACCGAAGTGGTAAACGTCTGATACCTGCATCACTTCGGGCTTTCCTCCCACATTAAGCTGACACGCCGTGATATAACTGGAATACTGTTAAAAGCGGCGTTAAACCCAACTCACTCACTCACTCTTGTGTTTCTGTATTTTGTATTATATTTCTGTATGTAGTGGTAAGTATTACCAATATGACAATAAAACAGACACTAATATATTGTGATGTAAGTACATACTCCCACCCACGCACATACACAAACTCATACGTTTTACATTTCTATTGTTATACTAATCTTCTATTTCGTGTTTAACGCCGCAGTCTGCAATATTCCAGCTGTATGACAGTAGTCGGTGAATAGTGAAGTCTGGGCAAGACAAACCAGTGATTGCTATTATGAACAACGTACCAAACCCCTGAGGTTGACGCACTCAACCGAGTCATCTGGTGTGAATATGATTTTACGCCGCTTTTATCAATCTCCCAGAAATGATCTTGGCACATTGTGCCCATGTGAGGAATGGAACCCGGGTCTTTGGTGTGATGAGCAAACACTTTAACCACACGGCTACTCCACCTCACTCACAAAGCCTGGCGAACTGACCCATATAGTCCAGAATATAAAGTGGTACACCAATTATATTTTATTTCTAGAACAGAACTGAGAAAATGAAAAAAATCTTTATTGGTATACTCATGGCAAAACAGTGATATATTTTAACTTAGAAATATATATATAATAAATCATCTAGAATGTAAATGTGGACGGAACGTTAGTAGTGGCTCAGATACACCCATTCCCCGAGTAGCCTGCGTCTCCATGCCGTTATGACACTTGACATTTGATATTATACCCTGGATCACCGAAGATGGCGTACATCACGGATCACAAAGTAGATAGAACAGTGACGCCTGACCAATATAAGAACTTGTTGTGGGACAGGAATACCAGAAAACAGGGGAAAACAAGACCCAGATAAAATAGAATATTTCTAAAACAATATCAGTGACTATATGTATTACTGCATTGTGCATGTTTCTGTATTTTACGGTTAGGTTCTGCCAGGTTGGTCTGTAAATGAAGTCATGTGTTGGTCGGACCCAGGAATAGTTGTGACTAAACATAGCTTTGGAGTGCTTAAAGCATCTGATTTTGAAACACATGTAAAATCGTTCAGAACATTATAACACTATACATAGCAAGCGGTGACGTCACAGGGAGTTGTTCACCGGGACAAAACGTCACAGAATCACACAGGGCGGGCATCTTCAGGGTGTGGATGCAGGACGCGCGAACCAGGTAGCATGTTCGCATCACAGGCTAACTGAAGCCATTTGGTTTGTAAATCTGTATACATATACGAGCACTGACAGTTTTCTGACCTTGGAATCTGAAGAGGAATGTCAGTAATACCGCAACCACCAAGTTGGTGTAGGGCGGACGGAGAATGTTTGTTTGTTTGTTTGTTGTTAAACGCCGCACTCAGCAATATTCAAGCTATATGACGGCGGTCTGTAAAATAATCGAGTCTGGACCAGACAGTCCAGTGATTGACATCATGAGCATCGATCCACGCAATTGGGATCGATGACATGTATCAACAAAGTCGGCGAGCCTGACCACCCGATCCCGTTAGTCGCCTTTTACGACAAGCATAGTCGCCTTTTTTCGGTAAGCATGGGTTGCTGAAGACCTATTCTACCCCGGAATGACGGAGGAAGTAGTTTTACGGAGGAAGTAGTTCTTTCACAGAAGGGGCGGTCGGGTAGCCTAGTGGTTAAAGCGTTCGCTCGTCACGCCGAAGACCTGGGTTCGATTCTCGACATGGGTACAATGTGTGAAGCCCATTTCTGGTGTCCCCCGCCGTGGTATTGCTGGAATATTGCTAAAAGCGGCGTAAAACCATACTCACTCACTCTTTCACAGAAGTAACTTGTATAGAAACACCTTCTTATTGTTCAGGGTTGCGGTTCCACCGAGCAAATTTTGCGCAACGGTACCTCCCTACGACCTTCCCCCCTCCCCTCCTTTAGCAGCCGGCCCTGGTCCGCATCTTACCCTCACCCTTTGCAGGTATATACTTTGTTTGTGTTGACATACATATGGCAATGAAGACAGATCAGTAAACCAAATATTACTAACGGCAGCTGTAAGGGGAGTGAGTGAGTGAGTCAGATTTTAGCAATATTCCAGTAATTTCAGGGCAGGGGATATCAGCAATGGGCTTCACGCATTGTACCCATGTCGGGAATCCAACCCGGGTCTTGGGCGTGACGAGCGAACCCTTTAACCACTAGGCTACCCGACCGCCCCGCTGTAAGGGGAAGTAGGGACCAGTCATTTCATATTTCTGTTTTTTGTTACTGTTCGCTTCATGCCCTGAAAAGAATGTGTTGTGCCTTCTTCCATAGAGCTTGCTGTGTTTCTCCAACGCAACGCCCACCCCTTGTGACAGTAAATGATCGGCCCTCAGCGTCTATGAATATAAGTGTTAATTAGTCGTTCAAACCACCAACTGCTATTAAAGCTCTACATCAAATCTTTAAATCATGAGCGACTAAACATGTCAGGGGAATTCGTATTGTTTAAAATATCGTGTAAACATTATCAACAATCTGATCTAGCCATTACAGGGGCAATATATGTCGTTTTATCACGTGATCACATACGTCACATGGCTTCACGTCGTCCTTGACCCTGTGTGTGACACTTAAAGCAACACTGGAACAAGCAGGTCATGCATTATGAAGGGTCAAGGGTATTTGGGTACTCGGTGTGTACTCTGTTGTACAGAACCAGGTCAGGCATCAGAATTATTTGAAAAATCACAATTATGCCATTTAGACTTGTGTCACAGATTGTTACCGAGGAAACAACCTCGGAGTGACGTCATCATACATCCCTAAAGTGAATATGAAAGCTATTTGTTACTAACTTATTCCCAACTAAACATATATATGAACCCCATCGCTCCAACCACTTAAAATCTTAGGCAGTTGTGTCAAGGGAATCACTGGCAGGTTAATTATTTTGTGGGGATGCACACAACCAATAAACTAAAAATATACTGACCGCCGAAAGAAACGCGAATACCTTACAAGTTGGGTCTTATACAAAGAATAACTCATATTCTGGAGATGTTAGATTGGTTCGCTTCACAAACGAACATACTGGTGTGGGCCGATGCTCATGAACGCATCACGTGTGACGTCATAGATCCACTTCTCGAGATGCACCATTTGTCTCGTGCAGGATTAACATGTAAAGTTTGAAATTACGTGCAGCATATCATGATAAGAATAAAGACAATCTGCGGTAACACTTGACTGATTGTTAGTTATGTCATTAATTGGTGGGCGGTCGGGTAGCCTAGTGGTTAAAGCGTTCGCTCGTCACGCCGAAGACCCTGGTTCGAATCCCGACATGGGTACAATGTGTGAAGCCCATTTCTGGTGTCCCCCGCAGTGATATTGCTGGAATATTGCTAAAAGCGGCGTAAAACCATACTCACTCACTCATTAATTGGTACATATTGAAAACATCTCTGTATGTTCCTATGGTTCACGTTTCTTTTGGCGTTGTGTATATAACACATGGAAGCAAAGCACAGGTTGAGACCTTGACCCCTGACCCCGTCCTGCACACACACCCTGCATACACCACATCCACTGTTGAATCACTTCATGGTCCGCAAGCACGTTATATTACATTGCTCCTGAACTTTCGATTGATTAACTTTTCCTGTGGAGCTAATTGACTGTGATCTTGATCTTGAATCATGAAAACCCCCTCTTGAATCATGAAGACTGTATCTTGAATCATCACAGATCATGCATCTACAACACAAGTTGTTCTCATGCACGATTAAGTTGATAACTGCTTGAAGACATTTAATACCTCCCTCACAGAAACTTATTCGTTCATAAACAATCAAACTTACAGGTTCACCTTATTTTAGTCCTAAAATGAGTTTATCAACATACAGTAAACTACGGTTATAACGAACTCAAAGGGACCTCTAATTTTAGTTCGTTATAACCGTAGTGCGTTCTAAGCACATACACAGCATAACCAAATCAAATAGTCTGGCCTAAAAAGTAAGTTTGTTATATCCGTCAGTTCGTTATAAGCGTGTTCGTTATAAACGTAGTTTACTGTACTAACATCTCCTTCTGTATTTTGTGGAAACTACTGTCAGTTGTGATGTAGTAGGTTAGGTGAGGTGAAATGAAGTTTAACGTCGCGTCCAAGATTATTGCTCTTACATAGCGCCGTGTGTGTGTGTGTGTGTGTGTGTGTGTGTTTGTGTGGCTGCTTGTACTAGTCCGGACTGATGCCCATTTATAATGCTAGCACACTGAGATACCATGCCGCAGTTTAACATGAATACCCCACTCAGACACAGTATACTGACTCCGAGCCGACCAGTCCTTGTTTTAGCCCCTTAATGCCGAGCGCCAGACAGGGTAACAACAAGTACCATCTTTTAACGTCTTTTGGTATGACGCGGCCGGGGATCGAACCCCGGACCTTCCGCTCTCCGGGCGGACGCTCTACCACTAGACCATGGAGGCGGTCATGTGAGGGAGTAAACCTGACGACTGTATCATACATAACACGTGAATCATCTGGAGCCTTGAGGTGAGCGACACTGATATTTAACTTAAATAAATGACCGTCTTGCCACGTTCCTTCGCAATAATGCATGCTGTGTCACGTTCGTATTTGAGATTGATCCATTTTAAATCAAAAGTCATTTCAATGAGATGAGGTTTCAAATATATACTCAACAACAAAAGTTCCTGTGACACCAATATTTTAGTGTATTTTTCAAACAAGTAAAGTTTGGTTTTCAATATTGTAGTACATGTATGGAATCAAGTCACAAAAACGCAACTGCTAAAAAAACATGCATTCCATGCAAAAGTTGAGCGAAAATGAGCGTCTGCGAGCTTTGGTATGCTTGAGGGCAGCGTGTCGGTGAATGGAACTCACAAAAGGACCTAATTTGTACACTATCGGAACGTGATGTTATTTCTAAGGGACTGCTTTATTGCCTCAAACACACTACCCAGTGCCATCATTTGACCTGTGACGCTATCAAGTGTTTGGTGAAGTGATCCCTGCACTATTACCATGCTGTATCTAGGACTGGCCGAGTGCTATCATGTGACCTGTGACGCTATCCCGTGTTTGGTGAAGTGATCCCTGCACTATTTAATGCTGTATCTAGGACTAGCCCAGTGCTATCATGTGACCTGTGACGCTATCAAGTGTTTGGTGAAGTGATCCATGCACTATTACCATGCTGTATCTAGGACTGGCCGAGTGCGACCATGTGACCTGTGACGCTATCAAGTATTTGGTGAAGTGACCCCTGCACTATTACCATGCTGTATCTAGGACTGGCCCACTTTGTTGCTGCTGACGTCCACAACGATGAGGATGGCGAAGACAACTTCAAGCAGCTGTGTGAGAAACATAATTACATAAATAATATGTCAATGGAAACATGCATGACCCATGAAAACTAGGATGCCTACCCATCTATGGCATCTCGATTCGCTGTGCAGAGTTTCGTCCCTTAGACATGTCAGGATATGTGGTGGTGGGTTCGACTCCAATATTTGAACTGGTGGTTCTCATTGGTTTGTCTGCACCATACTCGTGATCGTTGATTTCACCACAACTCACTCACTCACTCACCAGCAGGACAAGTATACTGACAAGACCAACAACAGTCTATTTTCTCCCTATACTCACCAGCAGGACGAGTATACTGACAAGACCAACAATAGTCTATTTTCTCCCTATACTCACCAGCACGACGAGTATACCGACAAGACCAACAATAGTCTATTTTCTCCCTATACTCACCAGCACGACGAGTATACCGACAAGACCAACAGTAGTTTATTTTCTCCCTATACTCACCAGCACGACGAGTATACCGACAAGACCAACAGTAGTTTATTTTCTCCCTATACTCACCAGCACGACGAGTATACCGACAAAACCAACAGTAGTTTATTTTCTCCCTATACTCACCAGTAGGACGAGTATACCGACAAGACTAACAATAGTCTATTTTCTCCCTATACTCACCAGCAGGACGAGTATACCGACGAGGCCAACAATGGCCCATGTTTTCGAGTTCTCGATCATGTCTTGTAGTTTTTCATAGCAGCCCTGCACAGGAGAAAAACATCATAGTCAATACAGCGGGTATCACATGAGTAGCAAACGGAGCTGAGACGCCAGGGTCGCCTGTACGATCTTGTCAATACGTTACCCCCCTGAAGAGAATCCTATAACGAACAGTCCTTCACAAAGACAGGACTAGGCAGTGATGGTGGAGACACACCATGTCAGTCCCTTTGTAAGAAGCTGCTAGCTCAGCAACACAGGGCCGTGAAGTTCAAATGGCAGTAACTGAATATCACACTGACTCACTGACTAATTCACTGACTCACTGACTCACTAACTCACTCACTGACTCATTGGCTCATTGGCTCACTGACTGACTGGCTGACTGACTGACTCACTGACTGACTGACTAACTCACTCACTCACTGACTCATTGGCTCACTGACTGACTCACTAACTCACTCACTGACTGACTCATTGGCTCACTGACTGACTGACTAACTGACTCACCGACAGACTGACTGACTCACTAACTCACTCACTCACTCACTGACTCATTTGCTCACTGACTGACCCACTGACTGACTCACTCACTGACTCACTGACTCATTGGCTCACTGACTGACTCACTGACTGACTGACTGACTGACTGACTCACTAACTCACTCACTCACTCACTGACTCATTGGCTCACTGACTGACTCACTGTCTAACTCACTCACTGACTCACTGACTCACTGACTCATTGGCTCACTGACTGACTCACTAACTCACTCACTCACTCACTGACTCATTTGCTCACTGACTGACCCACTGACTGACTCACTCACTTACTCACTGACTCATTGGCTCACTGACTGACTCACTGACTGACTGACTCACTCACTAACTCACTCACTCACTCACTGACTCATTGGCTCACTGACTGACTCACTGTCTAACTCACTCACTGACTCACTGACTCACTGACTCACTGACTCATTGGCTCACTGACTGACTCACTAACTCACTCACTCACTCACTGACTCATTTGCTCACTGACTGACCCACTGACTGACTCACTAACTGACTCACTGACTCATTGGCTCACTGACTGACTGACTGACTGACTGACTGACTCACTAACTCACTCACTCACTCACTGACTCATTGGCTCACTGACTGACTCACTGTCTAACTAACTCACTCACTCACTGACTCACAGACGCATTGGCTCACTGACTGACTGACTCACTCACTCACTGACTGACTCACTGACTCAATGACTTACTAACTCATTCACTCACTGACTAATTGGCTCACTGACCCACTGACTGACTCACTGACTGACTCATTGACTCACTGACTAACTGACTGACTCACTCACTGACTCATTGGCTCACTGACTGACTCACTGACTGACTCACTTACTCACTCGCTCACTGACTCATTGGCTCACTGACTGACTCACTGACTAACTCACTCACTCACTCACTCACTCACTCACTCACTGACTCATTTGCTCACTGACTGACTCATTGGCTCACTGACTGACTCATTGGCTCACTGACTGACTCACTGACTGACTCACTAACTCACTGACTGACTCAATGACTCATTTGCTCACTGACTGACTCATTGGCTCACTGACTGACTCATTGGCTCACTGACTGACTAACTGACTGACTCACTAACTCATTTGCTCACTGACTGACTCATTGGCTCACTGACTGACTCATTGGCTCACTGACTGACACACTGACTGACTCACTGACTCATTTGCTCACTGACTGACTCATTGGCTCACTGACTGACTCATTGGCTCACTGACTGACTCACTGACTGACTCACTGACTGACTCATTGGCTCACTGACTGACTCATTGGCTCACTGACTGACTCACTGACTGACTCACTAACTCACTCACTGACTGATTCATTGGCTCAGTGACTGACTCATTGGCTCACTGACTGACTCACTGACTAACTCACTCACTCACTGACTCACTGACTCACTGACTCATTTGCTCACTGACTGACTCATTGGCTCACTGACTGACTCACTGACTGACTCACTAACTCACTCACTCACTGACTCATTGGCTCACTGACTGACTCACTGACTAACTCACTGACTCACTGACTCACTGACTCACTGACTCATTTGCTCACTGACTGACTCATTGGCTCGCACTGGTTCACTCACCGTTTGTTGGATATCTTTAGCTTCCCTGTTTGTTAAACATTTTTGTCCCAACTCCTTACAGCATGTCACAGGAACCTCCTGAAAGTCCGTGGTCACGTTCTTGACGAAGTCCGAGGGCCCCGTGAACCCACAGCATTTCATCTGACAACCAATGAAAACTACTAGTGTTGAAGTTGTAAGAATGATTCCAGTGAACAAGTATTTTTGTCATGTTTACTGTACATGTTAACATGGAGATGCTCTTACACATAACAATCGCACCATACTTCAAGGAGTGACGTATCTCTTCTGTATGCAGGTTAGAGTCACGACAGGCTGGACATTGTCCTCGTCCTCCCTGGAATGTCCATACACCCTATACAGCGTGTACTAAACATTGTCCTCGTCCTCCCTGGAATGTCCATACACCCCTACAGCGTGGACTAAACATTGTCCTCGTCCTCCCTGGAATGTCCATACACCCCATACAGTGTGGACTAAACATTGTCCTCGTCCTTCCTGGAATGTCCATACACCCCTACAGCGTGGACTAAACATTGTCCTCGGCCTCCCTGGAATGTCCATACACCCCATACAGTGTGGACTAAACATTGTCCTCGTCCTTCCTGGAATGTCCATACACCCCTACAGCGTGGACTAAACATTGTCCTCGGCCTCCCTGGAATGTCCATACACCCTATACAGCGTGGACTAAACATTGTCCTCGTCCTCCCTGGAATGTCCATACACCCCATACAGCGTGGACTAAACATTGTCCTCGTCCTCCCTGGAATGTCCATACACCCTATACAGCGTGGGCTAAACATTGTCCTCGTCCTCCCTGGAATGTCCATACACCCTATACAGCGTGGACTAAACATTGTCCTCGTCCTTCCTGGAATGTCCATACACCCCTTACAGTGTGGACTAAACATTGTCCTCGTCCTCCCTGGAATGTCCATACACCCCTACAGCGTGGACTAAACATTGTCCTCGTCCTCCCTGGAATGTCCATACACCCTATACAGCGTGTACTAAACATTGTCCTCGTCCTTCCTGGAATGTCCCTACACCCTATACAGCGTGGACTAAACATTGTCCTCGTCCTCCCTGGAATGTCCATACACCCCTACAGCGTGGACTAAACATTGTCCTCGTCCTCCCTGGAATGTCCATACACCCTATACAGCGTGGACTAAACATTGTCCTCGTCCTTCCTGGAATGTCCATACACCCCTTACAGTGTGGACTAAACATTGTCCTCGTCCTCCCTGGAATGTCCATACACCCCTACAGCGTGGACTAAACATTGTCCTCGTCCTCCCTGGAATGTCCATACACCCTATACAGCGTGTACTAAACATTGTCCTCGTCCTTCCTGGAATGTCCCTACACCCTATACAGCGTGGACTAAACATTGTCCTCGTCCTCCCTGGAATGTCCATACACCCTATACAGCGTGGACTAAACATTGTCCTCGTCCTCCCTGGAATGTCCATACACCCTATACAGCGTGTACTAAACATTGTCCTCGTCCTTCCTGGAATGTCCATACACCCCTTACAGTGTGGACTAAACATTGTCCTCGTCCTTCCTGGAATGTCCATACACCCCACACAGCGTGGACTAAACATTGTCCTCGTCCTTCCTGGAATGTCCATACACCCAATACAGCATGGACTAAACATTGTCCTCGTCCTCCCTGGAATGTCCATACACCCTATACAGCGTGGACTAAACATTGTCCTCGTCCTCCCTGGAATGTCCATACACCCCATACAGCGTGGACTAAACATTGTCCTCGTCCTCCCTGGAATGTCCATACACCCTATACAGCGTGGACTAAACATTGTCCTCGTCCTCCCTGGAATGTCCATACACCCCTTACAGTGTGGACTAAACATTGTCCTCGTCCTCCCTGGAATGTCCATACACCCCATACAGCGTGGACTAAACATTGTACTCGTCCTCCCTGGAATGTCCATACACCCCTTACAGCGTGTACTAAACATTGTCCTCGTCCTCCCTGGAATGTCGATACACCCCTTACAGCATTGACTAAACATTGTCCTCGTCCTTCCTGGAATGTCAATATACACCCGTTACAGCGCGGACTAAACATTGTCCTCGTCCTCCCTGGAATGTCCATACACCCCATACAGCGTGGACTAAACATTGTCCTCGTCCTCCCTGGAATGTCCATACACCCCTACAGCGTGGACTAAACATTGTCCTCGTCCTCCCTGGAATGTCCATACACCCCATACAGCGTGGACTAAACATTGTCCTCGTCCTTCCTGGAATGTCCATACACCCCTACAGCGTGGACTAAACATTGTCCTCGTCCTCCCTGGAATGTCCATACACCCCACACAGTGTGGACTAAACATTGTCCTCGTCCTCCCTGGAATGTCCATACACCCCATACAGCGTGGACTAAACATTGTCCTCGTCCTCCCTGGAATGTCCATACACCCCATACAGCGTGGACTAAACATTGTCCTCGGCCTCCCTGGAATGTCCATACTCAACAGTGTCCTTGTTCTGCATTGCCTTGAATGTCCATAGACCCCTTACAGCGTGGACAACACAGTGCCCTTGTCATTCCTGGAATGTCCATACACCCGCTACAGCGTTGACGAAAGAGAAGGATGTCCGCACATGTACACTGTCATAATATACTGAACAACAAATGTTCCTGTGACATTAAATATGATTTTTAATGCAAAGTTATGTTTTTTACCAAAATCTGAAACAATTTCTGTTTGCAACAGAGAGTTGCAAGTTAAGATGCAAGCAACACATATTCGTCTCATGGAATGGACCAGAGGTCGCACAAATTCCTGTGGGATAGCTGTCCATATCTGCTGGAGCATGTTTCGAAGTTCCTGGAGTGTCTGTGGAACACGTGGTTGATGTCGAAGGCGCCGTTCCATCTCATCCCCCCACATGTACTCGATTGTCGAGAGATCAGGCCAGCGAACCGGCCAGTTGATGACATGCATGTTGTTTTGTTGAAGAGAATCCTTAACACGTCGAGCAATATGAGGCCGGGCGTTGTCATGTTGAAAGGTAATGCCGGGGCCATGACGACGCCAAAACGGTAGATCAACAGGGCCGATGATCTCGTTGCGGTACCGCTGTCCATTGAGATTTCCCTCAACCACTATCAAACGGGCCAACTGTCTTGCTATAATCCCACTCCATACCATAACGCTGCCGCCCCCGAACCGATCTTCTTCCATGACACAATGATTGACGTAACGTTTACATCGACGTCGGTCCACTCCAATCCGTCCATCGCTAAGGTGAAAACGAAACTCGTCAGTGAATAGAACTTGTCCCCACTGCATGGCCGTCCAGCGTAGACGCTGTCTGCACCACTGTAGACGTGCTTGGCGGTGGTTTCCTGTCAAAATGGGACGTCTGGCGGGTCTTCTGGCGACAATCCCTGCACATCTGAGGCGACGACGTACGGTTTGTGAAGATATTCGTCGAAGGCCAGGGATGCTTCTTGCAGTCACTGTTGCTGGCTGGAATCGATTTCGTAGGTGTGTTGTTCGAATCCAGTTGTGGATTATTGGTAACGCGTGGCCTGCCACTCAGAGGATGGTCTCTGACTGCATTAGTCTGTTGCCAACGTTGCCATAAACACCAAATGGTGTTTTTGTGGACGTTAAATTGTCTTGCAACATCATATTGACTCGATCCTGCTTCAAGCATACCAATGGTTTGCAGACGCTGATTTTCGGACAGGCGTGGCATTTCGTAATGTTGAATAATTGCGTAATTTTGTTGTTTTTCTGAATTTGTATTTGTCAGCACGATGCTGAGCAATGCATATGGAATCCCGTTAACACACATGTTTTTATACCCATTCTTGGGTAGTAAAATGCATGGGGCTTACATAGAAGTCAACTTTTGCATGGAATGCAGGCTTTTCTATAGCAGTTGCGTTTTTGTGACTTGATTCCCTACATGTACTACAATATTGAAAACCAAACTTTACTTGTTTGAAAAAACACACTAAAATATTGGTGTCACAGGAACTTTTGTTTTTGAGTATATGTTCAAACATTGCATTGACGTTTAGTATTGTTGGTGGCCTATATAGTAAAATTGGCATCATTACCTCAAAGGGGCGATCGGGTAACCAAGTGATAAAAGCGTTTGCTCATCACACCAAAGACCGTTCGATTCTCCATGTGGTAACAATGTGTGAAGCCCATTTCGTGTGTCCTCCGCCGTGATATTGCTGGAATAATGCTAAAAGCGGCGTAAAACCATACTCACTCACACATTACCTCAAGAGCAAGGACATTTGTGATCTGTATGAATGCTCCATCCTTGTGTGAAGCATATTCGGCTTTAGTCTTCGCCACCAGGGAGCTGCGGATGGTGTCGTGAAGCTGAAGAACAGAAACGTCACAGTTTTGAGTGTATGTTTAGTAAGTATTAGTGGGGGCACGGGTGGCCCAGTCGTCTAAGGCGCCGCGATTCGCTGTGCAGAGTTGCGTCCCTTAGCACGCCAGAAACCTATGATTGTGGGTTCGAATCCCGGTTCGTCCCGATTATGTTTCTTTGTTTGTCAGCACCATACCCGTGCTCGTGGGTTTCACCGAAATGGTTAACGTCTGAGACCTGCATCACTTCTGGCTTTCCTCCCACATTAAGCTGACACGCCGCGATATAACTGGAATACTGTTAAAAGCGGCGTTAAACCCAACTCACTCACCCACTAAGTATTAGTGTGGTATTGCGCGTGCCCTAAGTGTGCTTGCAGTGAGTTCGTGTAGATCGGTGAGTGTGCTTGCGGTAATTGCGGTAATTAAGCGTGCGGTAAGTGTTCGTGCGGTAAGTATGCACGCGGTTATTGACCGTGCGGTAATGAGTGCGCGGTAAGTGTGCGTGCGGTTAGTGTACATGCGCTAAAAGTACATGTTGTAAGTACTACTTGCTGTCTGCTCTTCTGTGTCTGATACGTTACGTTGAGTGCGTACAGTCGAGTACAGATGATGTACTCACCACGGAGTCCTTGACGAGAAACAGGGCACCTATGACCGCTATCCCCAAGATCAGGAGAATCACCAGAATGACAAACTGGAATCAGGAAAACAGGTGTGAATACAGGTGTTAAAACAGGTGTGAATACAGGTGTTAAAACAGGTGTGAATACAGGTGTTAAAACAGGTGTGAATACAAGTGTAAATACAGGTGTTAAAACAGATGTGAATACAGGTGTTACAATGGTTATAAAACAGATGGTAAATATGTGATTACAGGTAGTAAAACAGGTGTAAATACCGTTCGTATACCAAATGTGAATACATGTGTTGAATGTAGATGTTAAAACAGGTGTGAATACAGGTGTGAATACAGGTGTTAAAATAGGTGAGGATACAGATGTTTAAACAGGTATCAATATAGGTGTGAATACTGGTGTTAAAAAAGGTGTGAATGCTAGTGTTACAACAGGTGTGATTGCAGGTGTTAAAACATGTGTGAATACATGTGCTAAAACAGGTGTAAATACAGGTGTTAAACAATGTGATTACAGGTAGTAAAAGAGGTGTGAATACAGGTGGTATAAAAGGTGTGAATTTCAGGTGGTGTAACAGGTGTGAATACAGGTTTGAATACAGGTGTGAATACAGGTGTTGAAAAGGTGTGAATACAAGTGTAAATACAGGTGTTAAAACAGGTGTGAATACATGTGTTAAAACAGGTGTGAATACATGTGTGAATACATGTGTTAAAATAGGTGTGGATACAGATGTTTAAACAGGTATCAATATAGGCACCCAGGTTAAATTGTTTTGTAAAACGGCACCCAGGTCTTAAAGCTTAGGTGATTGTAACTCCCAAACCTTAACATAGACTTACATGTACGTCAGTCGTTGTGTTAAATTGTTTTGTAAAACGGCACCCAGGTCTTAAAGCTGAGGTGATCGTAACTCCCAAACCTTAACATAGACTTACGTCATCCGTTGTGTTAAATTGTTTTGTAAAACGGCAACCAGGTCTTAAAGCTTAGGTGATCGTAACTCCCAAACCATAACATAGACTTACGTCAGTCGTTGTGTTAAATTGTTTTGTAAAACGGCACCCAGGCCTTATAGCTGAGGTGATCGTAACTCCCAAACCATAACATAGACTTACGTCAGTCGTTGTGTTAAATTGTTTTGTAAAACGGAACCCAGGTTTTAAAGCTGAGGTGATCGTAACTCCCAAACCTTAACATAGACTTACGTCAGTCGTTGTTTTAAATTGTTTTGTAAAACGGCACCCAGGTCTTAAAGCTGAGGTGATCGTAACTCCCAAACCTTAACATAGACTTACGTCAGTCGTTGTGTTAAATTGTTTTGTAAAACGGTATCCAGGTCTGAATGCCGATGAGACAACAGATAAGAATTGTTTTAAATATACTCAACAACAAAAGTTCCTCGGAATGGCAGGCCACGCGTAACCAATAATCGACAAGACAACTGGATTCGAACAACACACCTACGAAATCGATTCCAGCCAGCAACAGATATGCAAGAAGCCTCCCTGATCTTCGACGAATATCTTCACAAACCGTACGTCGTCACCTCAGATGTGCAGGGATTGTCGCCAGAAGACCCCTCAGGCGTCCCATTTTGATAGGAAACCACCGTCAAGCACGTCTACAGTGGTGCAGACAGCGTCTACGCTGGACGGTCATGCAGTGGGGACAAGTTCTATTCACTGACGAGTCTCATTTTCACCTCAGCCACAGCGATGGACGGATTGGAGTGTACCGACGTCGAGGTGAACGTTACTTCAATCATTGTGTCATTGAAGAAGATCGGTTCGGGGGCGGCAGCGTTATGGTATGGGTAGGGATTACAGCAAGACAGGACCCGTTGATAGTGGTAGAGGGAAATCTCAATGGACAGCGGTACCGCAACGAGATCATCGGCCATGTTGTTCTACCGTTTTTCGTCATGGCCAAGGCATTACCTTTCAACATTGCTCGACTTGTTAAGGATTCTCTTCAACAAAACAGCGTGAATGTCATCCCCTGGCCGGCTCGCTCCCCTGATCTCTCACCAATCGAGCACATGTGAGATGAGATGGATCGGCGCCTTTGACGTCAACCACGTGTTCCACAGACACTCCAGGAAGGATATGGACAGATATCCCACAGGACTTTGTGCGACGCCTGGTCCATTCCATGAGACGAAGATGTGTTGCTTGCATCGCAACCAGAGGTGGACACACACGCTATTGATTTGTAAATTGACATTTTGGCATGTTCATGTTTTTTACGAAATCCCGCATTTTCTGAAGTCAGTATGGCAAATTAACCATTTGTTAACCGAATGATTTTCAGATTTGGTAAAAACATAACTTTGCATTCAATCTTTTTCAATTTCACAGGAATTGTTGTTGTTCAGAATAAATACTCAAGACGGATCTATCGAATGTTCTGTATACGGGTCTCAATACTGGTCAGCATATAAATGACTATATAGTGTGAATGTATATATGTCAATACACGTGTGAATGCAGATCTAAATACTTATCGTAATACATACAATATTGTTATGCCCAAATATGTTTGACAAATTTGCTTTCAAATGTAACTTTATATTCCTGAATCACTTGTGTATATATCAACTTGTTTCGTCGTTATATTGTTGAAATTATTCCGATGCGACGTTAAATTTTAACTCACTCACTAACTAATGCATGCGAGAATACAGGGTTCGATACAAGTAGAGTTAACTACGGTTATAACGAACTCAAAAGGGCCAGTAATTTTAGTTCGTTGTAACCGTAATTCGTTATAAGCATATCTATAGCATATATGCAACAGTAGCCGGAACAAAGAAAATAAGTTCGTCTTATCCGTCAGTTCGTTATAAGCGTGTTTGTTATAAACGTACTTTACTGTATCAGGGGAAGTGGACGGGTGTATGTTTACATACCGCTGACAGAGTATCCGACTTATAACAAGAAGTAAACCTTTTAGTTCGTTGTAACCGTAATTCGTTATAAGCATATCTATAGCATATATGCAACAGTAGCCGGGACAAAGAAAATAAGTTCGTCTTATCCGTCAGTTCGTTATAAGCGTGTTCGTTATAAACGTAGTTTACTGTATCAAGGGCGGTGACGGGTGACGAGTATCCGACTTACCACGACAAGGAAAGGTCTCCATTTACAACACGCTCCGCAGCACGCCAGGAAGGAGATGCAGAACAGCACGACCCCGAGCACCAGCAGCACCGTGGCGACATCGCCTACCATTGGCATGAAGCTGAGCGTGTCAGGTATGGGGATGGTAGGCACGGTGTAGCCTACACCTGTAGGAGATGGAGGAGCTGTGGGTATCGCGGACTGTGCCCCGGCCAGGAGGAAACCCATCAACGTTCCTGGCGTGAACTTCAGTATTGCCCCGACAGCCAGCAGTGCCAGGGAAATCACCTGAAACGTACGAAACATGACATACGGTGATACCGTCTCAGCCTGAGGTGAGGTGAAATGGGGTTTAACGTCGCGTCCAATATTATTGCACTTATATAGCGACGAGCATGTACGTGTGAGTGTGTGTGTGAGTGTGTGTGTGTGTGAGTGTGAGTGTGAGTGTGAGTGTGAGTGTGAGTGTGTGTGTGTGTGAGTGTGAGTGTGAGTGTGTGTTTGTGTGCGTGTGCGTGTGTGTGCGCGCGCGTGTGTGTGTGTGTGTGCGTGCGCGTGAGTGTGTGTGTGTGTGCGTGCGCGTGAGTGTGCGTTGCGTGTGTGTGTGTGTGTGTGTGTGTGTGTGTGTGTCTAGCCCGAACTGATACCGATTTATATTGCTAGCACACTGAGATACCATGCCGCAGTTTAACATGAATACCCCACTCAGACACAGTATACTGACTCCGAGCCGACCAGTCCTTGTTTTAGCCCCTTATGCCGAGCGCCAGACAGGGTAACAACAAGTACCATCTTTTAACGTCTTTTGGTATGACGCGGTCGGGGGTCGAACCCCGGAACTTCCGCTCTACCACTAGACCATGGAGGCGGTTTTCTCAACATGATATACAGTTATACCACCTCAACATGACATACAGTTATACCACCTCAACATGACATACAGTGAAACTGCCTCAACATTATATACAGAAATACCGCCTCAACATGACATACGATGATACCGCCTCAACATGACATACGGTGATACCGCCTCAACATGACATACGATGATACCGCCTCAACATGACATACGGTGATACCGCCTCAACATGACATACGGTGATACCGCCTCAACATGATATACAGTGATACTGCCTCAACATGATATACAGTGATACCGCCTCTATATAATATACAGTGATACTGCCTCAACATGACATACAGTGATACCGCCTCAACATGATATACAGTGATACCACCTCAACATGACATACAGTGATACCGCCTCAACATGATATACAGGGATACTGCCTCAACATGACATACAGTGATACCGCCTCAACATGACATACGGTGATACCGCCTCAACATGATATACAGTGATACCGCCTCAACATGACATACGGTGATACTGCCTCAACATGACATACAGTGATACCGCCTCAACATGATATACGGTGATACCACCTCAACATGATATATACAGGGATACCACCTCAACATAATATACAATGATACCACCTCAACATGATATACAGGGATACCGCCTCAACATGATATACAGTGATACCGCCTCAACAAGATATACAGTGATACCGCCTCAACATGATATACAGTGATACCGCCTCAACATGATATACAGTGGTACAGCCTCAACATGATATACAGTGATACCGCCTCAACATGATATACAGTGATACCGCCTCAACATGATATACAGTGGTACAGCCTCAACATGATATACAGTGATACCGCCTCAACATGATATACAGTGATACCGCCTCAACAAGATATAGAGTGATACAGCCTCAACATGATATACAGTGAGACCACCTCAACATGATATACAGTGGTACCACCTCAACATGATATATACAGGGATACCACCTCAACATAATATACAATGATACCACCTCAACATGATATACAGGGATACCGCCTCAACATGATATACAGTGATACCGCCTCAACAAGATATACAGTGATACCGCCTCAACATGATATACAGTGATACCGCCTCAACATGATATACAGTGGTACAGCCTCAACATGATATATACAGGGATACCACCTCAACATAATATACAATGATACCACCTCAACATGATATACAGGGATACCGCCTCAACATGATATACAGTGATACCGCCTCAACAAGATATACAGTGATACCGCCTCAACATGATATACAGTGATACCGCCTCAACATGATATACAGTGGTACAGCCTCAAAATGATATACAGTGATACCGCCTCAACATGATATACAGTGATACCGCCTCAACAAGATGTAGAGTTATACAGCCTCAACATGATATACAGTGAGACCGTCTCAACATGATATATAGTGATACCGCCTCATTATGACACACGGTGATACCGTCTCAACATGATATACAGTGGTACAGCCTCAACATGATATACAGTGATACCGCCTCAACATGATATACAGTGATACCACCTCAACATGACACACGGTGATACCGTCTCAACATGATATACAGTGATACCGCCTCATTATGACATACGGTGATACCACCTCAACATGAGATACAGTGATGCCGCCTCAACATGATATACAGTGATACCGCCTCAACATGATATACAGTGATACCGCCTCAACATGATATACAGTGATACCGCCTAAACATGATATACAGTGATACCACCTCAACATGATATACAGTGGTACAGCCTCAACATGATATACAGTGATACCGCCTCAACATGATATACAGTGGTACAGCCTCAACATGACATACGGTGATACCACCTCAACATGATATACAGTGATACCGCCTCAACATGATATACAGTTATACCGCCTCAACATGATATACAGTGGTACAGCCTCAACATGACATACAGTGATACTGCCTCAACATTATACACAGTAATGCCGCCTCAACATGATATACAGGGATACCGCCTCAACATGACACACAGTGATGCCGCCTCTATATAATATAGAGTGATACCGCCTCAACATTATACACAGTAATGCCGCCTCAACATGATATACAGGGATACCGCCTCAACATGACACACAGTGATGCCGCCTCTATATAATATAGAGTGATACCGCCTCAACATGATACACAGTGATGCCGCCTCAACATGATATACAGTGATACCAACTCAACATGATATACAGTGATACCGCCTCTATATAATATACAGTGATACCGCCTTAACATGACATACAGTGATACCGCCTCTATATAATATACAGTGATACCGCCTCTATATAATATACAGTGATACCGCCTTAACATGACATACAGTGATACCGCCTCTATATAATATACAGTGATACCGCCTCTATATAATATACAGTGATACCGCCTTAACATGACATACAGTGATACCGCCTCTATATAATATACAGTGATACCGCCTTAACATGACATAAAGTGATACCGCCTCAACATGATATACAGTGATACCGCCTCAACATGATACACAGTGATGCCGCCTCAACATGATATACAGTGATACCAACTCAACATGATATACAGTGATACCGCCTCTATATAATATACAGTGATACCGCCTTAACATGACATACAGTGATACCGCCTCTATATAATATACAGTGATACCGCCTTAACATGACATACAGTGATACCGCCTCTATATAATATACAGTGATACCGCCTCTATATATTATACAGTGATACCGCCTTAACATGACATACAGTGATACCGCCTCAACATGACATACAGTGATACCGCCTCTATATAATATAGAGTGATACCGCCTCAACATGATACACAGTGATGCCGCCTCAACATGATATACAGTGATACCGCCTCTATATAATATACAGTGATACCGCCTCAACATGACATACAGTAGTACCGCCTCTATATAATATACAGTGATACCACCTCAACATGACATACAGTGATACCGCCTCTATATAACATACAGTGATACCGCCTTAACATGACATACAGTGATACCGCCTCTATATAATATACAGTGATACCGCCTCAACATGACATACAGTGATACCGCCTCTATATAATATACAGTGATACCGCCTTAACATGACATACAGCAATACCGCCTCTTTATAATATACAGTGATTTTCGGAGACAGTTTATTATTCTCTAGTTATGTTATCGCTACATAATACTCCCTGTATAAATATATGATGAACATTGCATGCACCAATCCTTTTACAACTAAGGGATCTTCACTTCCTGTGTCCAGGTCTAACAACACCCGATCTGACAAAGGGGAGATAACCGCCCTGATCGTGGATAGAGAAATGTCTAACAACTACCTGTCAAACAAAGGGGAGATAACCGCCCTGATCGTGGAGAGAGTAATATCTAACAACAACCTGTCTGACAAAGGGGAGATAACTGCCTTGATCGTGTTGTGAGAAATGTCTAAAAACAACCTGTCTGACAAAGGGGAGATAACCGCCCTGATCGTGGCGTGAGTAATGTCTAACAACTACCTGCCTGACAAAGGGGAGATAACCGCCTTGATCGTGTTGTGAGAAATGTCTAACACAGCCTGTCTGACAAAGGGGAGATAACCGCCTTGATCGTGTTGTGAGTAATGTCTAACAACTACCTGCCTGACAAAGGGAAGATAACCGCCTTGATCGTGTTGTGAGAAATGTATAACAACAGCCTGTCTGACAAAGGGGAGATAACCGCCCTGATCGTGGAGTGAGTTATGTCTGACAACAGCCTGTCTGACAAAGGGAAGATAACCGCCCTGATCGTGGAGTGAGTTATGTCTGACAACAGCCTGTCTGACAAAGGGGAGATAACCGCCCTGATCGTGGAGTGTGTTATGTCTGACAACAGCCTGTCTGACAAAGGGGAGATAACCGCCCTGATCGTGGAGTGAGTAATGTCTGACAACAGCCTGTCTGACAAAGGGGAGATAACCGCCCTGATCGTGGAGTGAGTAATGTCTGACAACAGCCTGCCTGACAAAGGGGAGATAACCGCCCTGATCGTGTTGTGAGTAATGTATAACAACAGCCTGTCTGACAAAGGGGAGATAACCGCCTTGATCGTGTTGTTAGAAATGTATAACAACAGCCTGTCTGACAAAGGGAGATAACCGCCCTGATCGTGGAGAGAGTAATGTCTAACAACAGCCTGTCTGACAAAGGGGAGATAACTGCCCTGATCGTGGAGTGAGTAATGTCTAACAACAGCCTGTCTGACAAAGGGGAGATAACCGCCCTGATCATGGAGTGAGTTATGTCTAACAACAGCCTGTCTGACAAAGGGGAGATAACTGCCCTGATCGTGGAGTGAGTTATGTCTAACAACAGCCTGTCTGACAAAGGGGAGATAACTACCCTGATCGTGGAGTGAGTAATGTCTAACAACAGCCTGTCTGACAAAGGGGAGATAACCGCCCTGATCATGGAGTGAGTTATGTCTAACAACAGCCTGTCTGACAAAGGGGAGATAACTGCCCTGATCGTGGAGTGAGTAATGTCTAACAACAGCCTGTCTGACAAAGGGGAGATAACTGCCCTCATCGTGGAGTGAGTAATGTCTAACAACAGCCTGTCTGACAAAGGGGAGATAACCGCCCTGAATGTGGACTGAGTTATGTCTAACAACAGCCTGCCTGACAAAGGGGAGATAACCGCCCTGATGGTGGACTGAGTTATGTCTAACAACAGCCTGCCTGACAAAGGGGAGATAACCGCCCTGATCGTGGAGTGAGTTATGTCTAACAACAGCCTGCCTGACAAAGGAGAGATAACCGCCCTGATGGTGGACTGAGTTATGTCTAACAACAGCCTGCCTGACAAAGGGGAGATAACCGCCCTGATGATGGACTGAGTTATGTCTAACAACAGCCTGTCTGACAAAGGGGAGATAACCGCCCTAATAGGTGGACTGAGTTATGCCTAACAACAGCCTGCCTGACAAAGGGGAGATAACCGCTCTGCTCGGCGAGTGAGTGATGCGCAACACCAATGCCAGCGATGTGACGATGGAAGTGAGTGAGTGAATATTTATAGTCACATCGGCAATATTTCAGCCATATCGTGACTAAATCAAGTTAGACAGTAATAATACATTCAAATGTTATCATAAAACCTGTCGTCAAAGGACAGTAAAAAACTAGATTACCACAGATGTATATTTTAAAACTAGTATTGAACCATAAAAAGATATCACCATAAATAACAATACAGTATAAAAACGGGGCTAGGGATCGCCAGCAATTAAAGGTAGGCCACCATACTAGGAACCGTGGTGACTTACTTACTTCTGCTACCTAGTCCGGACTGATGCCAGTTTATAGCGCTAGCCCCCTGAGATACCATGTCACAGTTTAACATGAATACCCCACTCAGACACAGTATACTGACTCCGAGCCAGGTCCGGGGTTCGATCCCCGGCCGCGTCATACCAAAAGGCGTTAAAATATGGTACTTGTTGTTACCGTGTCTGGCGCTCGGCATTAAGGGGCTAAAACAAGGACTGGTCGGCTCGGAGTCAGTATACTGTTTCTGAGTGGGTATTCATGTTAAACTGCGGCATGGTATCTCAGTGTGCTAGCACTATAAATTGGCATCAGTCCGGACTAGTACAAGCAGCCACACACACACACGTGCATGCACGTCGCTATATAAGTGTAATAATCTTGGACGCGACGCGACCCGACCAGTCCTTGTTTTAGCCCCTCAATGTCACACGTTTTAATCGACCAACCCTCAGAATCACCAAACAAAAAATAGATATGTCAAAATCTAGATGTATTGATATTCATACCGTATCACACTCACCAAAAATAGTAGGTTCAAGATGACGAGGACGAGTCGTCCAAGGGAACTACAGCCACCCATGATGACAGCTGGGGAACACTCTACACAGTCTCGTCTTTCTGGGATCGCTGTCCAAGATGTTGTCACGTTGCTAAGCGCGACAACTGCACTTCAATCCTTTAAAAAATACAACCACACCGTTTAACCCCAACCAGAACATGTAATGATACGTGTATCAATACCCATCTTTTCCAATAAGACTTCATTTAATTTTAAACAGAAATGTTTAAAAATCAACCTGTTTAAGAAAACAGAAGGTTATTCCAAGTGAGCTGATAGATCCAATATACCTGTACAGTTACCTGTACAGTGTGGCTTCAGGAAGTGTCGAGGCGCGTCACGACAATGCGTTGAGCTGCAGGGGTGCGTGGTGGGGTATTGTGAGATAAGCTATACCCTGTGCCGACTGTGTTATCTGATTGGCATGGGAACACCTCGTTTGTCACCTGTGTCTGATAACCTCACGTCACATGGGTTATTTGATTTTCTACACCTGCTGCAGATATGCCGACAACAAACCAGCTCCAACTCCGTCTGAGATCTGAATTTCAAAAGTTAAATAAACCTCCCCGTAGATATTGCTCGTTCCGATCACGTACTCAGGGAGTAAGTCAGTGAGTGAGTGTTGTTATACGCCACTTGTAGCAATATGTGAACAGTATCACAATGGTGAACACTAGAAATGGGCTTCGCATAATGTACCCATGTTGGGAATCGAACCCGGGTCTTCGGCGTGACGAGCGAACGCTTTAACCACTAGGCTATCCACCATTATCCAGGGGAGGTATAAGGACAAGATATTTTGAAACAAAGGTTCTTCCTGTCATATGAGTTAACCATGTGATTGACTGTTACATTTACCTCAGGATAATTACATAGAGAAGGTAAGTGCGTGAGGCGGTTTAACGCCGGTTTGACCAGTATTCAACTTTGTAAACATGTCAGATTGATGTGGAAGGAAAGCCTGAAGTGATGCGGGTCTCAGGCGTTATCACTTTGGTGAAATACACAAATATGGGCATGGTGCTGACAAACCTAGAAACGCAACCGGGGCAAACCTGGGATTCGAACCCACAATCATGGGTTTCTAGCGTGCCTTTAGACGACTGGGCCTCCCGAGCACCCGGAGAATGTCAAATACGACTGGACTGACACCAGGATATACTCAAACCGTGTGTAATCGGGGACATCTACTCAAAGTCTGCTAAGGATCATCACTTTAGTTCAATACGTCAAACTGTGGTCATCTCTTGAGAAGGCCAAAGACAAGTTTGCGTGAAGACATGTTCAATGAAAACACGTCCGTTGTCATGTGCCCACAAAGCCAACAAACATGTGACTTATCTTTAGTCAGATCACCGTCAAAATGAAAATATATATCCAAACCTTTAACGTAAAAAAACACAAAAACAAATTCATTGTGTAAAAACAACTCCCAGCAGCTTGGCAACCTTGTTTCATGCCCCAGATAAGTGTCTGAATGGTTGCCGAGGGAAGGTCCTCCACTCTTCAGTAAGAACACACCCGAGTTCTAGTAGAGTTGCCGGAAGGACGGGGCGTAGTGAGATGGCGGCCCACCTCTCGGTGCACGTGTGTTTGATAACGCTGAGGTCTGGGTACCGGACTGGCCACTCCATGCGGGCAATGGTCACCTGGAATCAGCGATTATATACGTCTACTGTTACATCATGTCTGTTACACTTAGGTCTGTTACACTTAGGTCTGTTACACTTAGGTCTGTTACATTTAGGTCTGTTACATTTAGGCCTGTTACATTTAGGTCTGTTACATTTAGGTCTGTTACACTTAGGTCTGTTACACTTAGTTCTGTTATACTTAGGTCTGTTACACTTAGGTCTGTTACATTTAGGTCTGTTACATTTAGGTCTGTTACACTTAGGTCTGTTACATTTAGGTCTATTACAGTTATGTCTATTACATTTAGGTCTGTTACATTTAGGTCTATTACACTTAGGTCTGTTACATTTAGGTCTGTTACATTTAGGTCTGTTACATTTAGGTCTGTTACACTTAGGTCTGTTACATTTAGGTCTGTTACATTTAGGTGTGTTACACTTAGGTCTGTTACACTTAGGTCTGTTACACTTAGGTCTGTTACATTTAGGTCTATTACACTTAGGTCTGTTACACTTAGGTCTGTTACACTTAGGTCTGTTACACTTAGGTCTGTTACATTTAGGTCTATTACACTTAGGTCTGTTACACTTAGGTCTGTTACATTTAGGTCTGTTACACTTAAGTCTGTTACATTTAGGTCTATTACATTTAGGTCTGTTACACTTAGGTCTGTTACATTTAGGTCTGTTACAGTTAGGTCTGTTACATTTAAGTCTGTTACATTTAGGTCTGTTACATGTAGGTCTGTTACATTTAGGTCTGTTACACTTAGGTCTGTTACATTTAGGTCTGTTACATTTAGGTCTGTTACATTTAGGTCTGTTACACTTAGGTCTGTTAGATTTAGGTCTGTTACATTTAGGTCTGTTACACTTAGGTCTGTTACATTTAGGTCTGTTACAGTTAGGTCTGTTACATTTAAGTCTGTTACATTTAGGTCTGTTACATGTAGGTCTGTTACATTTAGGTCTGTTACACTTAGGTCTGTTACATTTAGGTCTGTTACATTTAGGTCTGTTACATTTAGGTCTGTTACACTTAGGTCTGTTAGATTTAGGTCTGTTACATTTAGGTCTGTTACACTTAGGTCTGTTACATTTAGGTCTGTTACACTTAGGTCTGTTATAATTAGGTCTGTTACATTTAGGTCTGTTACATCTAGGTCTGTTATACTTAGGTCTGTTACATTTAGGTCTGTTACATTTAGGTGTGTTACACTTAGGTCTGTTATACTTAGGTCTGTTACATTTAGGTCTGTTACACTTAGGTCTGTTACACTTAGGTCTGTTATACTTAGGTCTGTTACATTTAGGTCTGTTACATTTAGGTCTGTTACACTTAGGTCTGTTATATTTAGGTCTGTTACACTTAGGTCTGTTACACTTAGGTCTGTTATACTTAGGTCTGTTACACTTAGGTCTGTTACACTTAGGTCTGTTACATGTAGGTCTATTAAACTTAGGTCTGTTACACCTAGGTCTGTTACATTTAGGTCTGTTACATTTAGGTCTGTTACACTTAGGTCTGTTATATTTAGGTCTGTTACATTTAGGTCTGTTACACTTAGGTCTGTTACACTTAGGTCTGTTACATTTAGGTCTGTTATATTTAGGTCTGTTACACTTAAGTCTGTTACATTTTGGTCTTTTACACTTCGGTCAAATTGTTTACACCATCTTATTTCTTGATATATGTACGCGTAGCTCTGTTCAGTCATTAACATTTGTAAACTTAATTTGAATTGGGTTCTGTCTGAACTGTCCGACTCGGTGTAGATAGCGATTCGTAAGACATACGTGAATATGGAGAGCATTTGCGTGATGCAAGTGCAGTTGAAGACCAGTTATGAGGACATGTATCCACAACTCTTTGGCGCATTGCGATATATCGAAAACAAACACAGCTAAATCCACATTTTTGTAGTTGACATTTTGTATAAGCCCAAATTTGAGTGGCATTCTTTTCATACAAGAGTGAGTGGGTTGGGTTTAACGCCGCTTTTAACAGTATTCCAGTTATATCACGGCGTGTCAGCTTAATGTGGGAGGAAAGCCCGAAGTGATGCAGGTCTCAGACGTTTACCACTTCGGTGAAACCCACAAGCATGGGTATGGTGCTGACAAACCTAGAAACAAAATCGGGGCGAACCGGGATTCGAACCCACAACCATAGGTTTCTGGCGTTCCCAAGGGACGCAACTCTGCACAGCGAATTGCGGCGCCTTAGACGACTGGGCCACCCGTGCCCCCTTCATAACATAATAAGTAATAGTAATGTCACTCGGAGTATATATGGCTTTATGCGTCCTGCGTTAGGTTTCATAACACAAGCAGAAGGCGGAGCGACGCGTTAGAGCATATACACCCCGAGTGATCCTACTACACGTCATTTGTCACGCCGGCATGTTTTAATATGACATTGTAAAAGAACGAGAATAAATAGAAAATTGATAGAAAACAGTTTTTCGTTTGAGCTGAGGTTAACTTGTGCTGTGCAATATGCCGCGTTTTGCTTCGTGGCGGGGTATAAGAGATTTATTCTCCCGCTCACAAATTGATGTCCCTCCCAGGCCAGATACATGTGAACCAATCAGATGTCAGCATTCTGACATGGAGGTAGTATAACATGCCTCAGGTAATCCGTGACACCGGGATCAGCACTATTTTAATGGATGTTGAAAATATTCATAAAGTATTCAACCCATCGTTTAATCTCAATATTATTTTCACATGTATAAAGAGAGCTTACATTCTTCTGGGTAGACCAAAATCCGTTTGATGAGTTTATATCCTCTTCAAGCAAATGCGAATGTCTTTCAAGAAATATATTGAGGAAACCGAAATGTATTCTAATACAGGTTAGAAAAGGTTTTCAGCAACCCATGCTTGCCGTAAAAAGCGGCTAACGGGATCGGGTGGTCAGGCTCGCTGACTTGGTAGATGCATGTCATCGTATCCTAATCGCGTAGATCGATGCTTATGATGTCAATCACTCGATTGTCTGGTCTAGACTCGAAATTAACAGACCGCCGTCATATAGCAGAAATATGTCTGAGTGCGGCGGTAAACAAACAACCAACCAAACAAACAAACAAACAATGGGATATTATCAAACCATGAACACAGTGTTCTCCTCGAGAATCACGAGAATCGAGAATTCTATTTACATGAACACCGCACTTTAAGAGCAGGACAACATGAATATGCGCTTGTTGTGAACTTCTGGTGCCTGTATAAAAAAAACACGATTTACAGGTACACTCATTTATCACGTATCGCCCCGTGGTTGCTGTTGTTTAGACAACGTGCGTACATAACAGCACCTACTTCTGGGTGCTGCTCCTTGGGGGTAGGTCGCACCACGTCATGTAGCTAAGTGTTGGCAGATTGTGTATATCAGCCAATCTCTACCACTGAATAAGCACATGCTTGTCTGCTGCAGGGTATGTACACAGAGGTCTTTGTCCAAGTATACACCTGTTTCTCCATGAACAATAAACAATTTAACACTGAATGCCTTCAAACAAAAGTATACATCCATGTTTGATATCGACTGAAATGAAACAAACCAAATGGTTATTCGCTGGTGATGTATTTGATACGGGTATCAAAGATATGTTTTTTTCCTTGCAGTGTTTCGGTGACTGTTTTCAGTCAAGAAGTGTTTTTATGACCTTTGCAATTTTGTGGTCAAATCCAGATTTCAAGTACAAGGATGTCCTTTCGTATGCCTGACAGTTTAAATTTCGTGTGTCAACGTCGTTGTAGATATTGAAATGTAATGTATCGCTCTTCTCACAGAATCTGATTTGCGACAAATT